GATCTCCTGACCTTGTGATCCGCCCGTCTCAGCCTCCCAAAGTGCTGGGATTACAGGCTTGAGCCACAAATACTCTTCTTTATTGCTACATGGTGTATAGCAATTTTTATAAGGAGAAAAAGATGCTAATGCTGTCATAAATTTCACATAAAGTCTTAAATATTGTGCATATATGTTTATACCTAAAGTATCAGATTGTCAGACATCAGATATTTATTCAAAGGAAAATCATCTTTGAGCAGATTAAATTTACTAATAGGTGGATATTTTATCTAGTTGGGAACCGGTGTATATTTTATTAAGAATAGTCAAGCTATAAATCCCTTCTATATATGACATGCTTTATTTTCTGTATATTTACCTTCTCTTGATCTATTGCATTTTTTGAGAAACTAATACATTTATTACCTTATATTTGTTTATACTAAGAATAAATGAGCATTCCTGTTGTTTGTTGAAAAACTAATCTTGAACTCAGAGCCTGCACTTAAACTGATTAGCATTAGTATCTTTTAGAGATGTTATTTTCTCAGATTTCTTTTCTAATTTGGAGGACTCATGAGTTATTAATGAGTTATATAACAGTATTTGAGTTGTAGACAGTAGAGAGGAATTCCCATTTTCTGGACCTTGAACAAAACTTTGTGGTTATTGTTGTTGAAATGATTGCCTGAATACTCATATTTAGTGTTTGCAATATGCTTTCATTATTTTGTAGACATTTATGTCTGGCAGCAATCCACTTTTCTCATTTATTTTCCTAATTTATACTTCCTATTTTTAGCGTCCTCCTTCTTAGAAAAATATAAAAAAATTATGTGGGATGATATGTACAAATACCCAAGTAAGTTTTATACATTATAACAATTTGTTAACATGTAAGGTGACACTGTTTATAAAATTTATTTTTTTCCTGTAACATTTTATTCAAAATATGTTTAATCTCTTATCTTTTGTTAAGAGATCTACAGAAATAAACAGTTCCATGCACACAGTTCTTTTTTACCCTTTGTGGTTTTTCCTAAACATGTAGGTAATCAAAGCATAAATCTTAAAAGTGATAAAATAAAAAAGTTAAAAGACCTGGACATCATACCCTTAATCTAAATGTAGTACAAGGTTGGAAGCATTAGTCTACTGTTGGTTTTTGTAGAGATGGGGTTGGTTCTGGTATCTGGCATAATAGAACTGAGAGTTTACTCTGTGAGGAACAGTGTTTTCCACAGCTGCTCTGAGAATTCAGTAGAAATTGAGCCATTTATTATTCAGAAGTCTAGCTGGATGGCAAGTGGAAATCCTTGCTGCATAAAGGACCAAGACATTTAGCATTGATACCTTGTGGCCAGCCACACTTGTTGCCTAGTATTTGCAGCACCACCTAGTGGATGCTGGATGCTCACCTTTCCGTTGGAGTTATATTTAAATGTCAGTTCCTATCAAGTTAGGCAATTTTGTTTCATCTGAAGTAGGAATAGTGCAGACTGAGATCATCATTGTAATTACTAATTTTGAAATCAGAGAAAGCTCTTCTCAGAATTCATGGTGTACCATTCTATTTTCTATTCACCTTTTATAGAAGTATTTTTGAAAAAAGAACCATTTCTTTTAGCTTCCTTTGGCTTAACTCACATGTGCCACTGAATTAATGAATTATCCATATCATATTCTCTTTTACTGCTGCACAAGAAATATTTTGTTGGATGCTGTGGTAGATACTTCATAGTAACTTTTCAGTGTTTAGGGATGCATCTTTGACATCCTTTCTTAAATAAAACCATGTGACAGGAGTGGTTTAATGGCTTAAATGGAAAATTAAATTATCATCTTAGGGTTTTCTTTAGGCATATAGTTTTTCTTCTCATGAAAGGATTAGAAATATTATTTTTAAAAAAGATGGTATTCTTAAGGACTTATCCTTTTAGTCCAGTTGTACAAGTGAGACCAGAAGTTTCCACAAATATTCTGTTGGAATTCTTCCAATGATGACTACTACATAAGGGCAATTTAAACTTTAAAAATCTGGTTAGCAGATATTTTGGGTAAATGAAAAAATATTTTAGTAAATATTTTAAAGTTTACTTTGTAGTTTTAGGAGGATTGTGTTCTCTCAAGTAGAGACTTTCTGCAGAAAAATGAAAGTATATTCATTTGAAGTTAACCTTAGCAATTAATATGACCTTTATTTCACATGGCTGTAGTTTTACATGGAGCATTTCATTATTTGATTTTTTTATTTTTGTATAGATGGTTGTGAAAACTTTTATGGATATGGACCAGGACTCTGAAGAAGAAAAGGAGCTTTATTTAAACCTAGCTTTACATCTTGCTTCAGATTTTTTTCTCAAGCATCCTGATAAAGATGTTCGCTTACTGGTGGCCTGCTGCCTTGCTGATATTTTCAGGATTTATGCTCCTGAAGCTCCTTACACATCCCCTGATAAACTAAAGGCAAGTACTGATTTAAATAACTCCAAGATTGACTGATACTTTGATTTATCTTTCTAGCTAAAATAGGAGTTAAGGTATTTAGATGATTTCCTTGGATACTTTGACATTAGCTGCAGTAATATTTTGCTAAACTTATGGTTTTTTTAGAACATATTTTTGAAAAACTCTCTGGTCTTGAGGTTAAGAAGTAGATTAAAACAGTGTATACTTTTTTTATATTATGTTATCATTAGCTCTGTTTCTTTCATTATAATTTTGGAGGCAATTCCTTTTTACTTTCGAAAATCCATATTGAAGACCATGGCCATTATTTAAAAGACAATACCTAGTATAAACATGAGTTTGTAATATATAATCCTAATTTATTTAATGGAAGGTGTGACATAAATTGTTATGAAGAAAATGCAGGCCAGGCGCAGTGACTCAGGTCTGTAATCCCAGTACTTTGGGAGGCTGAGGCAGGAAGATTACTTGAGTTCATGGGTTTGAGACCAGCTTGGGCAACATAGCAAGGCCTTGCCTCTACTTAAAAAACAAACAAACAAACAAAAAGCCTTGTGTGGTGCTGTACACTTGTAATCCCCTAACTACCTGGGAGGCTGAGGTGGGAGGAGTGCTTGAGCCCCCAGGGGGCGGAGATTGCAGTGAGCCTAAACAGCACCACTGCATTCCAGCCTGAGCTGAGTGAGACCCTGTCTCTATTTAAAAAAAAAAAAAAAAAAAATCAGTCAACAAAGTTTTAATGGAAAGATACAAAAGGCATGTATTTCTTGGTTACAGTAGTTGTAAGTAAAACTATGTAAGTGCAAATCTTTAAAAGATGAGAAGGGGAATAGCACGAGTAATCTTTTTAGGAAAATGCTGGTAGAAAACATGAAGTAATTGGAATCGTGCAAAAGATACTGAATGTTTATAAGTCAGGTCAGGTAGGAATTAAAAACAGCAACAATAAAAGATAATTGTGGAGGCCGGGTGTGGTGGCTCACACCTGTAATCCCAGTACTTTGGGAAGCTGAAGTAGGCGGATCACCTGAGGTCAGGAGTTGGAAACCAGCCTGACCAACATGGTGAAACCTCGTCTCTACTCACAATACAAAGATTAGCCAGGTGTGGTGGCACATGCATGTAACCCCAGCTGCTGTGGAGGCTGAGACAGGAGAATCACTTGAACCCGGGAGGTGGAGGATGCAGTGAGCCGAGATTGTGCCACTGCACTCCAGTCTGGCTGACACAGCGAGACTCTCAGGGAAAAAAAAAAAAAAAAAAATTGTGGAAACTATGGATTAGAAAATGAGTCCATAGAAAGATTATTAATCCACAGTGTGAAAAAATGGCAGACAATTTATGTTTATTTCACTTAATAAGTCTTGCTGTTACTTATGTGTCAGGAGCTGGATTTACAGTGGTGGAAAAAACCCAGGCATGGTTCTTAGACTCATGGAGTTCTTGATAATTGAAGTGAGGAATGTGCTTATTTGATCAAGTCTACCAAAATTCAGGTAGAGAATGTGCAGCCTGTTTTGGGCATGCTTGTTTTAAATTTTGATTGGTAAAAGAATCTTAGGGTGAGGGAGGTAGAGGGCAATATTTGTCATTTAAAGGTGGAATTGAATTGTAAGATTGGCTGGTCCATGTAATTGTATACCCAGGTACTAGCTTGATTTCTAAATGTGAATTTCTCATATGGAGATGCTTAATCGGTTTAAGGAATGATTCCATTTGTTTGATGGTGGCTGTGGCTTTCCCGTACTAGATGTCTTGTTGGCATTCTCATGAGGAGGAAGTCTAACTTGCCTCTCTTGGGGATCTTTCAGTTTGCATAATCAAGGACCTATTTCAGGGCTTTGGAGGTAACGAAAAGTTCTCCCTAAAGAATAGCTACATTATCTGTTCTGTTTGTAACGGGACAATTTATGAAAAGACTGTAGAAGAGCTGAAATTAGGGTCTTTTTGCATTATTCCCTAGCTGAAAAATTGTAAGTATTTGGTTTTTCTTATGAATTTTTGAGTCTTATTCTAAATGCTTCTTTTTTCTTTTTGGAGGACAGTACTTAAAAATTATTGACTTTGAGGGTGCTTTCTAAATATTTAGGAGATTTCAGTTCGTTTTGATCAGCGTCAGGTTCATATATATGTGTATGTATTTTGTCTATAGTAGTGTTGTATGCATATTAGAAAATTGTGATATTTGAGCCTTACTTTTCCACTTTCAGTTTGTTGTTGTCATCAGCAAACCCCTTTTATACAGTTAGCTTCATGTTTAGGCAGTAATTGGTGAGGTTATAAGTGACTGTTGTCTTTCCGTCGCCACATAGAGTCAATATGGCATGTATACTCTTTCAGCAATCCAGCAAGGGTTCAATCATAGAGAACATATTTTCCACAGTGTTGCTATTAAAGTAACTTGTTTTAAGTAATCTTTTTTTTTTTTTTTTTTTAATTTTATTTTAGGTTCAGGGTACATTTGCAGGTTTGTTATGTAGGTAAATTGCATGTCATGAGGGTTTGGTGTACAGATTATTATAAGTATGGTTCCCCATAGGTAGTTTTCCGATCCTCACCCTCCTCCCACCCTCCACCCTCAAGAAGATGCTGGTGTCTGTTCTCTTCTTTGTGTTCATATGTACTCAATGTTTAGTTCCCAATGATGAATGAGAACATGCGCTACTTGGTTTTCTCTTCCTGTGTTTGTTTGCTTAGGATAATGGCTTCCAGTGGCATCCATGTTGCTGCACAGGACATGATCTCATTCTTTTTTATGGCTGTATAATATTCCATGGTGTATATGGAATATTTTCTTTATCTATTCTACTGTTGATTGGCATTTAGGTTGATTCCATGTCTTTACTATTGTGAATACTGCTGCTATGAACATACGCATACATGTGTCTTTATGGTAGAATTGATTTGTATTCCTTTGGGTGTATACCCAATAATGGGGTTGCTGGGTCAAATGGTAGTTCTGTTTTCAGTTCTTTGAGAAATTGCCAAACTGTTTTCCACAATGGCTGAACTACTTTATATTCCCACCAGTAATGTATCAGCATTCCCTTTTCTCTGCAACCTTGTTAGCATCTGTTGTTGTTGTTGTTTTTTTTTTTTTTTACTTTTTACCTATAGTCATTCTGACTGGTGTGAGATGAAATCTCATTGTGGTTTAGATTTGCGTTTCTCTAATCAGTGATGTTGAGCAGTTTTTCATATGCACGTTGGCCATACGTATATCTTCTTTTGAAAAATGTCTCTTCATGTTCTTTTCCCTCTTTTTTTTTTTTTGGACAGAGTTTTGCATTGCTGCTCAGGCTGGAGTGCAGTGGTGCAATCTTGGCTCACTGCAACCTCCGTCTCTCAGGTTCAAGTGATTCTACTACCTCAGCCTCCCCAGTAATTTTTATCACAGGCGCCCATCACCACGCCCGGCTAATTTTTGTATTAGTAGAGTGGTTTCACCACGTTGACCGGGCTGGTCTCAAACTCCTGACCTTGTGATCTGCCCACCTCGGCCTCCCAAAGTACTGGGATTACGGGCATGAGCCACCACGTCCGGCCTGCCTTCTTTTTAATGGGGTTGTTTTTTGCTTGTTAATTGTTTAAGTTCTTTATACATTCTTAATATTAGACCTTTGTTTGATGTATGGTTTGCAAATATTTTCTCCCACTCTGTAGGTTGTCTCTTAACTGTTTTGCTGTATAGAAGCTTTTTAGTTTAATTAGGGTCTCATTTGTCAATTCTTGTTTTTGCTGCGGTTGATTTTGGCATCTTCATCATGGAATCTTTGCCAGGTCCTATGTCCAGAATGGTGTTTCCTAGGTTATCTTCCAGGGTTTTTATAGTTTAAGGTTTTACATTTAAGTCTTTAATCCATCATGAGATGATTTTTGTATATGGTTTGAGGAAAGGGTCCAGTTTCAGTCTTCTGCATATGACTAGCTAGTTATCCCAGCACCATTTATTGAATAGGGAGTCCTTTCCTCATTGCTTGTTTTTGTGGTTTTGTTGAAGATCAGATGGTTGTAGGTGTGCAACATTATTTCTGGACTTTCTATTATGTTCCATTGTTCTATGTGTCTGTTTTTGTACCAGTACCATGCTGTTTTGGTTAGTATAGCCTTGTAGTATACTTTAAAGTTGGGTAATGTGATGTCTCCAGCTTTGTTTTTTTTTTTTTCTTTCTTTCTTTTTTTTTTTTTTGCTTAGGATTGCCTTGGCTGTTTGGGGTCCTTTTTGGTTCCACAGACATTTTAAAATGGTTTTTTTCTAATTTTGTGAAGAATGTCCTTGGTAGTTTGATAGGAATAGCTTTTCATTCAGTAAATTGCTCTTTGGACAGCATGGCCTTTTTAGTAATATTGATTCTTCCTATCCATGAACATGGAATTATTTTCCATTTGTTTGTGTCGTCTGTGGTTTCTTTGAGCAGTGTTTTGTAATTCTTTTTGTGGAGATCTTTCAGCACCCTGGGTTGCTGTATTCCTAGGTATTCTTTTTGTGGCTGTTGTGAATGGAATTGTTTTTGTGTGTGTGTGTGTGTGTGTGTGTGTGTGTGTGTGTGTGTATTTTTTCTTTTTTTTTTAAGACAGAGTCTGGCTGTGTCACCCGGGCTGGAGTGCAGTAGCACAATCTTGGCTCACTGCAATCTTTGCCTCCTGGGTACAAGCAATTCTCTTGTCTCAGCCTCCTGAGTAACTGGGACTACAAGCACATGCCACCATGCCTGGCTAATTTTTTGTATTTTTAGTAGAGATGGGGTTTTACCTTGTTGGCCAGGCTTGTCTTGAACTCCTGGGCTCAAGCCATCCACCCGCCTTGGCCTTCCAAAGTGCTGGGATTATAGGCTGAGCCACCGTGCCCAGCTGGTATTGTGTTCTTGATTTGGCTGTCAGCTTCAACATATGTGGTCATCATTATGTGGTGAATCACATTTTAAAAGTTTGCGAAGATTGTTATGGCTTATTATGTGGTCAATTTTAGAGTATGTGCCATGTGCAGATGAGAAGAATGTATATTCTGTTGTTTTGAATGGAGAGTTCTGTGGATGTCTGTTACGCCCGTTTGGTCAAATGCTGAGTTTAGGTCCTGAGTATCTTTGTTAGTTGTCTGTCCCAATAATGTAATTCCGTCAGTGTAGTATTAAAGCCTCCCACTATTATTGTGTCATTATCTATGTCTCTTCATAAGTCTCTAAGAACTTGCTTTATGAATCTGTGTGTTCCTTTGTTGGATGCATATATTTTTAGGATAGTTAGGTTTTCTTGTTTAATTGAACCCTTTATCAATATGTAATGCTCTTCTTTATCATTATTGGTTTAAAGCCTGTTTTGTCTGAAATTAGAATAGCAACCCCTGCTTTTTTCTGTTTTGTGTTTGCTTGTTAGATTTTTCTCCATCGCTTTATTTTGACCCTATCAGTGTTGTTGTATATGAAATGAGTCTCTTGTAGACAGCATACAGTTGGGCCTTGCTTCTTTAACCAACTGACCACAGTGCATCTTTTAATTGAGGCATTTAGTGTGTTTACATTCAAGGTTAATATTGGTATGTGCTCATTTGGTCTTGTCATCGTGTTGTTAGCTGGTTATTATGCAGACTTGATTGTGTGGTTGCTGTATACAAATGTAGATACAAATGCAGATATAGTAAATTAGTCAAAAATATGAGATGGGAATAGATTTAGAAAGATAGGGAAAAGCAAGTAATTACAATGATTAGTAGGAAGCTTGACAAATTGACTTCTAAGAGTCTGAGCTTCTCTGTGGTATCTATTGTATTGTCATTTGGCAATTACAAAAATTGTTTCCTAAACTGCTTTTGCTATTTAATTACCATATATTTTGCTGTTCCAGGAAACCTGATCAGCTCTCAGTCATTGCAACACTTTTTATTCTAAAAATAGCATAAATTTTAGCTGTCTCAGTTTTCAGGTCTATTTGTTTATCTTTTGTTGTAAGATGAAGTTTTTTGACTTTAAGATTATGGTAAATGATTTACTGTTTTCCTATGAAGGATAGTAAGATATTTAATGTAAGATAGTTAATGTTGTTCATACAGAAATATACTTTAAAAAAATTTTAGCCAAATAAAAATTTTTTCTGGCTCTTTATAGTTTATTATGATATGTACACATGAGTGCTGAATAAACTCTAGGGATTTCATGGATATTTTCATTTAGTGTTCATAATCTGAATGGCACTTTGTCTTTTTTTTATTTAAGGATATATTTATGTTTATAACAAGACAGTTGAAGGGGCTAGAGGATACAAAGAGCCCACAATTCAATAGGTATTTTTATTTACTTGAGGTAAGCAATATCTTGTATCTCGAGATGACATTTTAAACTGATTTTTTTGTTTATATATTTTTACTAATCAAAATGTTTAACTTTCACTTTTTTACCTCTTATATTTAGAACATTGCTTGGGTCAAGTCATATAACATATGCTTTGAGTTAGAAGATAGCAATGAAATTTTCACCCAGCTATACAGAACCTTATTTTCAGTTATAAAGTAAGTTTATTTTATTAAGTATGTAACATTAAAAAAAGATAACAAATTTTGAACATGTAGGTGGATCTGCATAAACTGTTATAATTAATATTAGAAGGCTAAGAGATGTAACTTTTAACACAACTTAAATTTATTTTTATACATGTTTGAAAAATGAATAGAGCTTGATTTTGTATTTATATGTAATTATTGGTTAGAGGAATGGCATAAGGCCAATGTAAAACTTTTTGGATTGCATTATTTGTCTATAAAAAATACATACTGACTTCTTAATGCATGTGGCTATTTGAGCTTTTTGTGTATTCTTTAAAATTATTTACTAGAATTAACTTCAAAGCAATTCAATTTTCTGAATTTAAGGCAGAACTGAAGTTACTTTTGATGTAATTACTTTTGATTGTGAGACTGGTTAAAATTAGGGAAAAATAATTTAAGAAATGTAGCTTAAAAATACAATTTGTATACTATTGTATGATGTGGGAGAGAGGGAAGCTTTAAATGAATATACATAGAATTTTATTTAATATTTTAGTATTATTTTTGTGAAGCATAATGCTTGTCAGTATCATCTTAAGAGTAAATCCTGTATATCTCAGTTGTAATTGAAACAAAATCTGTTTTGAATTTCAGCAATGGCCACAATCAGAAAGTCCATATGCACATGGTAGACCTTATGAGCTCTATTATTTGTGAAGGTGATACAGTGTCTCAGGAGCTTTTGGATACAGTTTTAGTAAATCTGGTACCTGCTCATAAGGTGAGTAACAATATATAGTGTAATGTGTCTAATGCCTGTTAATAGTAAGGCTTAAAATTTGTGCTTAGGTTCTAAATATGGTTTATCCTGCTTTAACCTTTTAGAGAATCTATTGGTTTAGTTATATTAATACATATTTATTGTGTTTAATGTGTAATAAAAAGATACACTTAGTCACTAGTAAGAAATTGTAGATTTCATGTAATAACATATTTGTTTTGATTCAGTTGTGTATAGAGTGTATTTCAGGGAGTGAGTTAGTAGCTACTTAGATGCTGTTACATAACTTACTTGTCAGAAGATGGAACCGAGTAGGGCCATAACTAAAAGATGGTGATAATGTAGATAGAGAGGACTGGTGAAATTTAAAGGGAAGTCTCTACTAAATGGGAGAGGAGTAATATGTTGGTGACAGTGTTTTTTGCCTGTGTGATGTTTCTGTGTTTGTGTGTGTGTGTGTTTGTGTTTTGATTTTAGGAAATGACTGAATCTCCAGTTAGAAATACGATTCTGTAATTTAGAAGGCTGTGGGTTAAAGAGAGGAGGACAGGAATCACCAGTGTAATTATCTGTGCAAATGTAAGACCTCTCTGGCAAGATATAGTCTCAGTGTAGAGCTATGCAGGATTGACACAAATAATGCTTGAGTGAAAATGATTTCATAATTCAAAAATCAAACTCTTAAAGAAAACAGTATCTGAATCCTGAAACTTAGCAGACACTACTAATAGCAAGATTAGAGCTCAGAAATTCAGAAAATATATTTATTAAATAAAATTCACAGGTCCTGGTGTGCTGTGGGTTCCTAGTCAGCTGCCATCTTGCTCCTTTTCGCACCCCTCACTCCTTCCTGTTGCACCTTCTGAATGGAGCACACCATGTGCTGACTCTACCCAGACCAGCCTCACTTCTGCCTCTGGTGACCACAAGAGGGAAGGGGGAAGCTGGCAAGCAGATCTGCAGAGGCTTGTCCCATTGTCTCCTTCACCTTGGTGCCCATATCTAGTTATAATCCCTGTTAATCCGTTTTTAAAAATCAGCCTGGGGCCCAGCTAGTGACTTCCCCTGGACAAACGAACACCTGTCCTGATGCCACAAACTCTACTGCCTGTGTGCTCAGGTGAGAAGACAGAGGTTCTGAATCTAGCCACAGAATGCCCTAGGGAGGAAGGCTGAATTCCCAGGGAGAGACCTGCTAAGCCTTTCAAATGGGCTGTGCCTGACTGGACTCTCAGCCTAGCTCTCTGGAACCCTCATCCACTTGTCAACTGTGCCAAGACAAACCCTCCTAGACACAAATCCAGTATCTAGCTTGGCTTTCTGCACTGAGCAGCTGACTACCAGAGCCATCTGAGGTCTCCATCCATCCATTGTCATGGAGAAGACTGTTGGGGAAAATAAACCCACCCTTCCTGATTACACATTTTCTCTTTGGCCTTGTGGGGAGAGGACCTGTAGGTACTTCCAGAAACTAGAATCGTAGGATCTAGTAAACCAAGTACTTACGGATTCAGTCTTTGCTTAGTCCATTTAGCTTAGGGTGGAAATTTCTCAAGGCAGTTACTATTTTGCAGCCCTTTGCATAACTTGCATAGCTCCCTGCAGTTTAGTGAATGACACTGAATAAAACATTCTGACAAAATTTTTAAAAAAATTATAAATACTCTTGAAAGGATTAATGATAAAATGTTTAAGAGGTAAAGAACTAGACATATTAAAGGAGAAAATTAGTAGAAAAACTCATTAGGAATGAAAAATGGCTGGGTGCAGTAGCTCACATCTGTAATCCCAGCACTTTGGGAGACCAAGGCAAGTGGATCACCTGAGGCCAGGAGTTCAAGACCAGCCTAACCAACATGGTGAAACCCTGTCTCTTCTGAAATTACAAAAATTAGCCAGGCGTGGCAGTGTGCGCCTATAATCCCAGCTACTCAGGAGGCTGAGGCAGGAGAATTGCTTGAACCTGAGAGGCGGAGGTTAGAGTGAACCGAGATTGTGCCACTGCACACTCAAGCCTGGGTGACACAGTGAGACTCCGTCTCAAAAAAAAAAAAAGAGAGAAAAAGAAAAGGAAAAATGGCCACCGAAATAGAAACCTTGATTGAATTGTATGTAAAAGATATTTAGAGAACTGGGATAGATGTGAGGAAATTATACAGGCACAGTTAGATGAAACATGAAAGATAAGGTCTGACATATTTAATAGTGATTTCAGAATAACAAATAGAGAATTGAGAAGAGATGATATTTGAGTAGAAGTTAGCTTAAAATATTCCAGAATTGGTTAAAGCCATTAATTTATGGAATAGTGAGAAAAAGTACCATGACTAGAGTGAAAAAAAAAAATAGAGGAAATCCCTGTCCTGGCCCATCCTGAAATTATGGAATACTGAAAGAGAAATCATGTATAAAGCACCCAGAATGTAAAGGCATGGCCCTTACCAAGGAATGAAGGCTAAACTGATTGCTGACTTCTCACTTGCAGTGTTAGAGAATAAATGTAATCTTATGTAAAATACAGTGGGTTAATGGAATTAATAAGTGATATGATCCTGGGATAATCAGGAGCATTTGGAGCTATTAAATTTGAACTTTAAATGAACCATTTATGTTAAAATTTTAAGGATTATAATAAAAGGAAGAGTTACAGTAAATGTAAGTGGCCTATATTTACCATGTAAGACAGGTTCTCAGACTAGATTGAACATAATCTGGGTGGTTATTTTTACTAAGAAATAAAACCAAAATACGTTCACAAAAGGTCAAATATAAAAGGATGGAAAAAGTACTTGCCAGGCAAGTGTAAACCAAAAGAAAACCAAGGTAGCTTATATTAGACCTAGTAGTTTTTAATGGATAAAGAAGAGCTTTATATAATAAGAAAAGATTCAGTACTCAGGAAGATTTCTAAACTTCTATGCACACAGGCTCAAAATATATAAAACACAAAGTGAAAGAATTATGGACAGAAAGAAGCAAATTCACTACCTGTGTTCCGTTTTAACATGTGTTTTAGTGATTATAAATCAGGTAAACTGAGTTTATAAAAAGATTGAGGATTTCAAACACAAAACTGCTAATTTAATGACAAGCATAATTAACAAGAAGAAAATTCACTATTTGTGTTCCATTTTAACATGTATTTTAGTGATTATAAATCAGGTAAACTGAGTTTATAAAAATAGGATTTGAAACACAAAACCAGTAATTTAATAGCAAACATATAATCTGACAAAACATTGTCATAATGGCAGTTAAAATATTTAGAAATGATAAGTGATACATATTAAAACTTGCAGGATACACTTTAAGTGTAACCTCATGGCTAAATGTCCATTTCAAGGAGTAATAAAAACGTTATGATAATAAATTATACAAGGAAGAAAATAGTGAAGAAATGAAATTAGTGAAATAGAAAACACAGTGACATTCCCTCAAAACCCAAAGTTAGTAATTTGAAAAATGTATTAAATAAGCAAATGCTTGGAAATCTCGATCACAAAAAAGGAAATGGTATCTATGTATAGTTTTAGAATGAAATGAGAAACAGTGAACATGAAAAAGATCAAAAGACAATTCCATGAGGAATATTTTATGCTAACATATTTGAAATTAGAATAAATTCCTAGAAAATATAACCTGGGAAATTTGTCTTGAGAGAAAATCAAGACAAATAGCCTACAACCAATACTTTTAGTTGGTTTTAAAAACTCTGCCTATAAAACAAAGCTCTTTTTTTCAAACAACAATAGCAACGATAGCAGCAGCAAAAATAATAACAGCAGCAGAACTCAAACCAACAACAAAAGGATCTGTAAACCCATTACCAGGATTTTTCTGTTGATCATTTAAGTGGCAAATATTCCTAACCTTCAGCACACTTCCAAATTATAGAAAGAAAGGACTACTCCATAACTCATTTTATGAGCAGAGAATAATCTTCCTAGGGAAACCAGGTGCAAACCAAGCAAGAAAAAAAAATAGGCTAATTGATTTCCAATATAAAATAGTAATTTCCAGAATGATTTAAAATACTATTGATAATCACCAAATTGGCTTTATTTTAGGAATACAAGGATGGAGTAACATTAAAAATGTTAGTGATAGACTAAGATATTTGTTTAATAGATCAAAGAGAAAGACAAATTTTAATAGATACAGAAAAAGATGGATACAATTCATTATAATTTGTAACTTAGCAACTTTGAAATAGAACTTAAACTGATAAGGAGATAATGTATGTTACAGTATTTAATGGTGAAATGTTGAAGCATTCTCTTTGACGTGAGGAACATTGTAAAAATATTGCCTCTACTCAGGCAAAAAGGCAAACATGCTTTAAAAAATTTGGTATTATTTATATGTATATATTTTGAAATATCAGTAGCTTTTGGGGTACAGGTGGTTTTTGGTTACATGGATGAATTGTATAGTGGTGAAATCTGAGCTTTTAGTGCCCGTCACCTGAGAAGTGTACATTGTACCCAGTGTGTACACAATGTGTTTATCTCTTGTCTCTTCTCCGCCTTCTGATTCCCTGTAGTCCATTATATCACTCTGTGTGCCTTTGTGTACCTATAGCTTAGCTCCCACTTACAAGTGAGAACATACAGTATTTGGTTTCCCATTCCTGAGTTGCCTCGCTTGGAATAATGGCCTCCAGCTCCATCCAAGTTGCTGCAAAATACATTATTTCATTCTTTTTATCGCTGAGTAGTGTTTCATGGTGTATATATACCACATTTTCTTTATCCACTCATCAGTGGACAGTTAGATTGGTTCCATATCTTAAGCATGCTATTTTTAATCCGCATTATAGTAGGTGTATTACATTAGTGGAATAAGACAAGACAAATACAGTATACAAGGATTAGAAAGAAGAAACTAAACTGAAATGTGATTGTGCAGAAAACACAAAATGGTGTACAGACAAATTTATAGAAAATATAAGAACATTCTAGAAGGTTGTGAGACATAAGATACAAAAACATAATTTCAAACATTTTTCATTTGTAACTTTAACAAAGATGTAAGGTACTTAGAAATTTAACCGTAATGTGTATCACCTTTATGTTGAAAATTGTTATAATTGACTGAAAAGCGTAATAGAAAACCTACATATGTTGAGAGATTTACTGTTTATGGAAGGGGAGACTCAGTATCATAATGATGTCAGTCTTCTGCATACTGATCAATAATTCAATCAAAAATAGAAACCAAGGCCAGGCTCAGTGGCTCTCTCTCGTTATCCCAGCACTTTGGGAAGCCAAGGCGGGGGACTCACTTTGAGCTCAGGAGTTTGAGACCAGCCTGAACAACATGGCAAAACCCTGTCTCTATGAAAATTAGCTGGGGAAGTGACGCATGCCTGTAGTCCCAGCTACTTGGGAGGCCGAAGTGGGAGGATCGCTTGCAGGGAGGTCAAGGCTGCAGTGAGCCATGTTCACACCACTGCATTCCAGCCTGGGCGACCAAGTGAGACTCTGTCTCAAAAAAAAAAAAAGAAAGAAACCGATAACATGTGCACTTGTGTGTAATTTGACAAGATGAATCTAAAATTGACATGAAAGAGCAGATGACCAATAATAGCCAAACAGTTTTAAAGAAGAATAAGAAAACAGGGACCTAATCTTGACATTATTTTCATGTGCCCCTTTGGCCATAATCAGTCAGTGATAGACAAAGGGACATATGGAAATAATGGAGAATTTCTTAATGGAAGCATCCTTATATAGAAGCTGAGAGAGTGGGTATTACGTTATCAAAGAGGGAATAAGAAATTATTTAATGAATGGTTTTAGGACAGTTTAGCACTTATATGGAAAATAATAAAAATTAGATACTTACTTCAGACCATACATAAGATTAAATTACAGGTGGAATAAAGGTCTAAATCTGAAAAGTATAATTTTAAAAATTTTGTTTGAAAATAAACATCTTAACCTCAAGATAGGAATGAATTTCTTAAAGATACAGAGAGCAACTCCGTATGAGAACAGCATTGATATATTTGATTACATTAAAAATGCAAGCTATTTGTGGTGCCCAATATGTGAAATTGACCTGTATCTATCAATGGATGAGTGTATAAAGAAAATGTGGTATATGTATACAATGGAATATTATTCCAGCCATAAAAAAATGAAATTATGTCATTTGCAGCAACATGGATGGAACTGGAGGTTATTTTGTAAAGTGATATAAAATGAGAACAGGAAGACAAGTACGTTTTCACTCATGTGGGGGCTAAAAAAGGTCTCATGGAAGTAGAGAATAGAATGGTGGTTATCAGAGGTTGGGAAAGGAACTGGGGAGGGGAGGAATGAAGAGAAGTTAAGGAGTACAAAAATACACTTAGAAGGCATAGTTCTTTCTAGTTTTTTATTTTATTTTATTTTATTTTATTTTATTTTATTTTATTTTATTTATTTTTTTGAGGTGGAGTCTCACTATGTTGCCCAGGCTGGAGTGCAGTGGCACGATCTTGGCTCACTGCAACCTCTGCCTCCTGGGTTCAAGCAATTCTTCTGCCTCAGCCTCCCAAGTAGCTGGGATTATAGGCATCCGCCACCACACCCAGCTCATTTTATTTTTATTGGAGACAGGGTTTCGCCATGTTGGCTAGCCTTGGTCTCAAACTCCTGGCCTCAGGTGATCCACCTGCCTCTGCCTTTCAAAGTGCTGGGATTACAGGTGTGAGCCACGGTGCCTGGCCTCTTTCTAGTATTTGATAGTACAGTAGGGAAATTATAGTTAACAATAATTTACATTTCAAAATAGCTAAAAGAGAAGATTTTAATGTTCCCAGGACAAAGAAAACATAAATATTTGAGGTGATGGATATATCAGGTACCTTGATTTGATTATTACTCAGTGTATACATGTATCAAAACAGCACATGTACCCCCAGAATAAGCACAGTTGTTACATACATATCAATTAAAAAAAAATGAAAAATGTCTCCATACTTTAAGACACCATAAATACTGTGAAAAGACAAATATAGACTAAGGTATGTTATACATGTACAGACAGTTCCTGACTTAATGGTTTGACTTACTTTATGATGGGTTTATTGGGTTATTGAATGCATTTTGACTTACTATGGGTTTATTGAGATGTGACTTCACCATAAGTAGAGGAACATCTGTAATTGACGAAAGTTTAGTCCGTAGAGTCTATGGAGAAAATCTAAAAATAAATAAGAGCAAGACTAAACAGCCTAATTGAAAACTGGCCAAGATAGAATTTACAGAAAATTACTTCTCATTTACATAAGGAGACTTGTACAAGACATAATGTCAGTGAATAGGAGAATCAGTAAAGAATCTGTAGTATATCATATCTAAACAGCAGTTAGTATGAATGAAATAATAAAATACAAGCATTAAGGCAGGTAAATCTAAAAATATGCTGAGTAAAGAGTGTGAGTTTAAGGATATATACAGTGTTCCTGTTCTCTGGAATATGTTTAAACTGGAGTAGTGACTCCATTTTTTATCTTTACTTCCTTGTATCATTATCAAAGTCTCTGAGAAACATATCTTCTTATGATATTTTTTCTTGTTGTCTTCCCTCCATACTTTACTATTTGTTGTATTTTCTGTTGTATCCTTCTACTTACTTGTGCTCTGAAATGTGTTTGAGTAATCTGCTTTCCCACAGCTGCTGAAAACTCCTTTGTCCTTCCCTGCCTATGGTTCCCCATCGCTGTCCACACTAGAACATAGTTCATTCTCTTAGGATGTTTTGGTTTTTTTTGGACCTGGAGTGGAACAACCTGTGTTTGTAATTAACTGATTTGATTTTGGGTCTAGATCTAGAATAACTCTATCTAATAAGCATTTATTGACCATTTCTATGTGGTTTACATTATGTTATGAACAAAATAGGAAGAGAATATAATTATCCTTACATGGATGGAATCTTAGATCCAGTAGGCCAGTTAGTCCTTAAAAAGAAAAGTGGTTTTGCCTTCTCTCTTTTATTCCAGTTGAGTCTTAGTTTTTTCATTCATTTACTCAAGAGTAGCATTTTGAATACAGGTAATATTTTGCTTTTCATTTTAGAGATATATAATATAGATACTGTTTATATTTTTCAGAATTTAAACAAGCAAGCATATGATTTGGCAAAGGCTTTACTGAAGAGGACAGCTCAAGCTATTGAGCCATATATTACCAATGTAAGTCTTACTTGTAATTGGTTGTCAGAAGGATTAAACCGAAAAGTTAAAGACTTGCTAGAAGCAAAATTCCGTCAGATAGTATATAGTTTTAAAAACAACAAATTTGTGTTGTTTTAACCCTTAAGTAATATATTTTCTTTCTCCTCCTTAAAATTATTCTTGCTTAATATTTTTTGGAAGGCTTGCTTTCATCCTATTTGTTCTTTATTTTCTTTCAAATTACCTGAAAACTTAAACAGTTTTATTTTGGTTAGCAAGATATTCTGTTTGTTTCTACTGATAGAAATAGAGTTAAATGTAATTAGATAAAACATGTGGAACTTTTCATTATTCAGAGACATTGCTTACAGGTTTTTGGAGCTTAAATTGATTTGTACAAGAAGAAGATATGAACTAATATTAAGACCTAGAAATTGAAGGCAAGTATGAATGGCAGTAGTGATTTAGTAAAAGTTGCTTATCTATTGCTATTCCTGGGGTAGATGCCATATAAATCTATCTTTTCTGAAAAAAAGGAACAATTGTAATAAAATGAGCCCTTTCAGTATCACCCCAAATCTACTTACTTATGATTGACTATCTTGTATTTATTTTTAGAAGAAATATTTTTTAGCTGCTAGGTTCACTGACAGAAGTTTATGGTAAGTTTTATTTTCTCTCCACAGTTCTTTTGAGTTGTACAGATTTAGGTGGCAGTATTCATATTATATTCTATGTGAATGGTGCCTCCTAGAATACAAATGTAGAGTACAGCGTTAATGGTGCCGCTTGGAATTGTGTAACAGTACAGTCCTTCCACCTGCTTTTCAGTTTCACTCACCTCCAGACAAGTAAAGGATATAAATTTGCATTCCTGAGTAAAGTAAGAAAGAAAGCCTTTAGTAATTACTTATGCATTCTCCTAAAATTTATTGAGGGAGAGTTTTTCTTGTAGTATACACAAATTTAAAGTCAGTGTATGAAATATATCATGAAAAGATGTACTTTGAAAACTAACATACTTCATAAAACAGTAACCTAATAAATTCCAGCTTTTGTTTCTGGCTTATAGCCTTAGAGAATCCTAAACATACGATGATTTGGAAAAGTTAATTTAATTTGTAAGGAAATTGTTTTGAAGGGTAAACTTTCAGAAGCTGTGGAATCAAATTCTGTAACCTATCTTAATTGCTCCAAGAGTGTCAGGGAACTTCAAATATTGGTTTCTGCAGTTTTTAAGCTATGGGTATTGGCTGAGATAAATTGGTTGGATTGAGTTTTTTCATCATTGGCTTAGTGGCACTTGAAGTGTGTAGATCTAGACTGAAACATTCTGTAATTATCCTTTTCCCTTGCTTCAAGTACTTCTAAATGACTATTTGCATGGGCCATTAGAGCACACTAGGTGAGCTCCTCCTGGTGGCCATTTATTTAAACTCATATTGCCAAGCCAGTTTCTTTTTTTCTCTTCTTTTTTTTTGGGCAAATTGGGGGGGAACACATCTTATTTTGGTTTCTTTTTCTGGCATTAAAATAAGAAAAGATCACTGTACCGTATTGATATCTCTACTCTGATTGGGGAAAATCAATATTTGATTGGGGCAATTAAAAGAACAAATCCACAATAAATGATGAAACTTATTAGAGTTAGATGATTAGGTTCGTTATATGGTTTTCTCAAATTTTGTATGTTTGAAAATATTTATAATAGAAGTTAAAAAAAGGCTGAGGAAATATTTTTAAGAATCCCAGAATACATCAAGGTAAAAACATTTCTTTATCACTTATACCTTGTGTTAATTTCCTGTTATTCTTGCGTGCAGAAATAGAATCCTTCCCCTGTGAACTACCCAAACTTTCATATTGTATCTATATCAAAAGCTGGGGAGCAGGGGCCAAGCAGAGTGTTCTGAGCACACATTGAATTATATATACTTTCTCCCAGTACCTTGTCCACTATTTTCTTATTTCTCCCTGTTTTCTTATTCCTTGCCTTATTTGAAGGTTAGCTAAGAAATAAGAATTGCTTTTTCCCTCCCTTTAGTTCCTTTATGTCTGCTTAGGTTTCCATTTCAAACCTTTATAATTACATATAAAATCACTTTCTAGTGAACTTAATTGTCTTGTAGTAGGGTAAAATTAGTTCAGTGTTAGAAATCATTCTTAGCCCTTTTGGACTTACAGTTGAAAAAGCCATTATTTACTGATCTTCCTAGTTGAGAATTAGCAAGTAAAAATAGGAGTAAGATACTGAGATAATAACCCCACTTCTCTCTCTTTTCTGGTTTTCATTCACACATACAGACACATTCTTTTTTTTCTTTTTTTTTTTAATAGTGTTTCTTACATATCAAGACTTAAGAAATCACTGTGGTAGTATAGGTTATTTATTAAATTTTTTTGTTATTGTTGTTTGAGACAGAGTCTTGCTCTGGCACCCTGGCTGGAGTTCAGTGGTGTGATCTTGGCACACTGCAACCTCTGCTTCTGAAGCTCAAGTGATCCTCCCACTTCAGCCCCCTGAGTAACCGGGACTACAGGAATGAACCACCATGTCTGGCAAATTTTTCCTTTTTTAAAAAACTTTTTGTAGAGACAGAGTTTCATTCACCATGTTGCCCATGCTGTTCTTGAATTGCTGTGCTCAAGCAATCCTCCTGCCTCAGCCTCTCAAAGTGTTAGGATTATAGGCGTGAGCCACCATGCCCAGCCTAGGTTATTTTTTTAAAATAGAATTTGTTGTAACACAACAACCTAGGAAGCTGAGCAGCACATATATATTTGTTTAAAAGGTAAAATGGAATATCAAGAACAAAAAGTACATGGTGATAATTCTAAAAATTTCCTACATGCATCATTCTTAATGATGTTATTTTTCACCAGTTCTTTTTTCTATCACAAATTTTAGGATATGGCAAAAAATTATTTTGTTGGACTGAAAAAAGTACATCCAATCTTTGTTGGAATAGGTAAAATTTGGTTAAATTGCTTAATTCCACTGAGCCTCTGTTTTTGCACCTGTAATGCTTGGGTGGTGGTAGAGAATGTGTTATTTAATGTGAAAGCACTTTGTAATTAAAATTAGCCATGTATATTTAAGGTAGAATTTATTAATAATTTTTTATAATTTATTTATAATTAAGGTAGAATTTATTACTGACTGGTGACATCTTTCATTAGGAGGCATTTGCTGTACAAAAAAATTAATTTGTAGTATATAATCACCCATTTGTAAATGAAAGAATTTTAGGAAGGAAATATTTTAATCAACTTTAAATCTGCCTCCACTAAATTTTCAGCCCTTAGGAAGGGCTCGGATTGTTTTACCCATATTTGTATCATACTGTCTTTTGCATATTTTTTATTCATTTACCAAACATATATTCTGTGCCTCCTCTGTATCAGGCACTGTGCTAGGTAGGCTTTTACACACTGGAGAAGATCAACTTGGTCATTGTCTTTTTGGAGATTATAAAAGTGTTCAACACATGTTTTTTAATGGAATTTGTGAGAAATTAAACCAGGGAATGATTTTTTTTTCTTAATTTTTCAAATAAGTTTTTCCCAGACTGTTAGAAGATGATGATGGTTCGACCACTTTGGTGGTGAGATTGGGAAGGGTTTTTGTTCTTTATTAAGGAAAATACTATTTATTAAATAGGTAGTATTTATTTTACTATATGTTAAGCAGGAGAAAATTTGTGAATGGAAGCAAAAAAGCCACTTTATTTTCAGCCTGAGTAAGAATTTAACCTTTGATGTCATGAAATTCTCTTCCTATAAAATTGATAAATAGGAAGGACAAACAAGTTCGTTTTAAAACTAATAAAGAATAGCAAAATAGAATTTGTTCTTCTTTCTTCAAAAGTCACATAAAAACAACACAAGAAGTAAAAGTAAGCAGAAAAGACATAGAAATATGAAATCCTCCACTTTGTACTCTCAGTATAGAAAGTTAAAGTGTAATCAAGCCAGTTGTGTGTTAACTGTCACAGAAGAGATTAGGGCAGCTTGCATGGTATAAAGAATCCTTGACTCCTTCTCCCCTGAGACTCAGGAAACCATGCAGGATATATGGCGGGGTATGCTTTTGGTTAATTTTTTATGTTTTTGGAAAGTTTTAAATAGAAAGGAACTTGACAGTTATGCCATGCGTCTTCACCAATTTCAGTAGTAATATGATAAATGATCTGAGTGTGGAAACTAGTTAGAGTGAGCTATATGGTAGGGAAAAATTGTTTAAATTTGGATTTTCCTTGTGTTTGTGTGTGCTTTTAATTGGATTTTAATTAGTGTTGTAAACCCTGTAGATATGTACACATCAGAACATAAAAGAAGACAAAGGATTAGAAAGAGGTAGTTTTTCATCAGAAGTAAAAAATTACATATTTCAAACATAGAATTGCCTTCTATGAAAATGTAGGAAGGCTGTATCTATGGGATGATGTTTTCTTCTGTATGTACTAAGGTGAACAAGCTATTTTCCCTCACCCTTGGGGAGATTAAGACATTGTTTTAGTCAGGGTTCTCTAGAGAAATAGCCAATAGTGAGTGAGTGTATGTATATACAGACACACATACACATATATGTGTGTGTATATTCACACATAGTGTATAAATACACACACACACTGAGAGACACATGTATATGTATGAGAGGGAATTTATTAGGGGAATTAACTTATGAGATTACAGAGTCTGAGAAGTCCAAGAGTAGGCTGTCTGCAAGCTGGAGAACCAGGGAAGCCGGTGGTGTTACTCTCAGAGGCAGAAGGCAAGGCCTGAGAACCTAGCAGGGGACTGGGCCGCTGGTGCAGTTTCTGGAGTCTGAAGGCAGGAAAACCTGGAGTGCTGCTGTCCAAGGATAGGAGATGAATGTCCCAATCCAGAAGACAGTGAATTCACTTCCTTTTGCCTTATTGGGCCTTCAAGCCTATTTGGATGATGCCTGCCCATACTGAGGGCAGATCTTTCCCGCTAAGTCTACAAGCCAATCTCCTCTGCAAACACATCATTGTAGACACACCCAGAAACAATGCTTTACCAGCTCTCTAGGTATTCCTTAATACAGTCAAGTTGACACATAAAATTAACCATCCAGAAATATACACAAATAATAATATAGGATAGAATATAGTCAGTATTATAATGGGGAGCAGAGTATATTTGAAAAGTAGAATGTTTATTGAAATGTTTCGGTCTGTTTTATTGTATACAAGATGGATTCCATGTTTTATCTTTTCCTGTAGCCTGTACTGGTTTCCCATGTAATGTTAGAAAATATTTTGATATGCCTAATTTGATTTTGTATAAAATAATGATGAATTTGGTCAAATAATTACGATTTTGAAAACATTCATCTTGTCTCTGGTTTTTCTACTAATGATAGGCTTTCTTTCTCAAAAGTTTTTTAATCAGGTTCTGATGCTTGGGAAAACATCTATCAGCGATTTGTCAGAGCATGTCTTTGACTTAATTTTGGAGCTCTACAATATTGATAGTCATTTGCTGCTCTCTGTTTTACCCCAGCTTGAATTTAAATTAAAGGTAACTTGTAAAAATAATATGATTCTGCCAACCAAGTTATTAGCAAAAAGCATTATTTATAGCTTTTTAATTTTTACAATAGTTTTAACTGAATGTAAGAGATGAAGGGGGAGTATTACCATTATATCTTCACATATTTGTGCCTTGTCTGTCTGTGAATCTTCAGTGCCTGGCAGGTGCCTAGCAAATAGTAACTGCTTAATAAATGATTAGTAAGGTTAGCAAGATGGTATTTTCCTCCAGATATTTTCCAGATAAATTCTAGGATTTGACTAACTTTTGAAGTCTTAGCTATACATCAAGCTTATGTTTTCAAGGCGCAGTTTATAGTAGTTCCCTTGACCACTTAGACCATAAAAATAGTTTAGAGTTTGTTATCCACATAGTGTGAAATGCTTTCCCTTTATGCATATTATCTCATGTTGCTTATGTTGCAAGTTTGTTTGCTTTTTATATAGTTCTGTGAATTTTTTATTGTTTTGAGAGGATTTTTTTTGTTTTGTTGCCCCGGCTGGAGTGCAGTGGTGTGATCTTTGCTCACTGCTAGATCAAGCAGTGAGGGATCTGTCGGGATCAAGCGATTCTTCCACCTCAGCCTCCCGAGTAGCTGGGACTACAGGCATGCGCCACCACCTCTGCTAATTTTTGTATTTTTTGGGTAGAGACAGGGTTTCCCCACGTTGGCCAGGCTGGTCTCAAACTCCTGACCTCAAGTAATCCACCTGCCTTGACCTCCCAAAGTGTTGGCATTACAGGCAGAAACCACCACCCCCGACCCAGTGAAATTTTTTGGTAGCATGTTCCTAACTGCTTTGACATTAAATTATGCTGTAAAATTGAGCTTTATTTGCAGAATTGGAGAATATACTTTTCTTTTTCAAATCATTACAGTAAGATTAAGTAAAGCTAGTTATAATTATTTATCCTTGTGGACCCAGAAAAATTCTTAAATGAGTTTTGCGTCTAAAAATTTTGATTTTCTTTCAAAAACAAAACAGTCCACATTGGTAATGTGAACACCCCAAGTAGCCAGTACATAAGTATTCTTCTTATATTCTGGAGTATGTTTTCGGTATGTTTCTCAAATGAGTCATTCAATTAACTGGCCTTCCTGTCCCCTTTTTAATGTGGTTAGTGATTTGGGTGAGGCAGCAGGTAGTCACACCTCTAATTATTTGTTGGTTTATACGATTTTCTCTAGTAAAGATATTGAGTAAATGCTATGCATGTTCCTACACACTATGAGAAATACAAAAATAAGGAAATTATCATCCCTGCTTTCAGCAAACTTAACATCTAGTATGAGAGGAAGAGGAAAAAAATCCAGATCTAATATGAGGCCAGATATTATAAGTGTCATAAGAGATACAAACAGCGTACAATTGAAGCAAAGGAAACAGCATGCAGAAGCATATAGAGGTAGGAAGGTTCCGGGTGAATTTGTGGAACACAAAGAATTATAATTGGAAGATAGCATAAAGTAAGTTTAAATCACTCCTGGCTGCATATTAGAATCTTTGCCTGTTAAGACTTAAAGAAATAGCTGTCCAGGCACTAAACCAGACTAGCTGATTCAGAGTTTTGGGGAATTGAGGTTTTTTATTTTTTTTTTGTTTTGTTATTGTTGTTGTTCTTGTTTTAATTTTTTTTTTTTTTTAAAGTTTTGAGATGATTCTAATGTACAGCCAGGCTTGAGATATAATTACTTAGAGGAATAAAGAGAGAAATAATAGAGATGAGTTAGGTCATACTGTGGGGGCTCTTGGCATGGCAGGTTGTGGCATTGGTTGAAAATTTAAAAACAATTTGTGTAATGACATTTCCATAGCACCTTGAATATCAATGCCTTTTGATATACCCGATTCCCACACTTTATGTTCAAGTCTAGTATTGTGACTGGCTCATTCACTTATCCATTGAGTCATTTGTTGGCAGTGCCAAAATCAGTAGTGAAATTGAGTTCACGTCCCTAGGGTGTCCCCAGTGTAGTATATAAAACAAATTTGAGTTTTCACAGGTTTAAGTCCTCTTCTTTTTACTGTTGAGCTCCTTTTAGAAATCTGGTCTATGTAGATGAAGTGTCTTACTGGGAGACTTTAGCACATACTAATAGAGCTAAAAAGTATATTCACACAGAGTTTTCTATTTTCTGTAGGCCTGGCCTCTGTCAGTGTCTGTTCTGAAAAACCACACATAGTTTTTCAAGGGTCCTGGGTAGGTTTTATAAGAGTTTATTTTGACTCTGAATAGAAATAAACCTTAATTGTAGGAGGGGCTTCTAACATTGGAACAAACTTTAAAGATGTATTTTCATGAAAGGGTACTTCTTTAATGGAATTTGAGATAATTAGAGCATTTATGATGACATTTAATTTTGTGAGAAGTAAAGTGAGCATTTTTATGTAATTTTTCATTTAGAGTTCATGAAAGATTTTCTGTGGAATTGGAGCATCAGGGAAATCGTGGCAAAGAATTGGCAGCCTTATTCTGAATATCTACTGCATGGTTTTAAAGCTGTGATTGTGTTTTATTTTAGAGCAATGATAATGAGGAGCGCCTACAAGTTGTTAAACTACTGGCAAAAATGTTTGGGGCAAAGGATTCGGAATTGGCTTCTCAAAACAAGCCACTTTGGCAGTGCTACTTGGGCAGGTATATGATTTTGGTTTCCCATTTAAAAGTAATACATGATTCTACTGACCGTTTTTTTTAAAAAAAACATTATCCACGTTTAAACTGTGTTCTCTGGAAGTTTTGAAAGTTGTTAATGACTGGCTATATTTATAATTACTCTTTCAGTCTTTATCCTCAGTAATTTTTAAAAGATAATACATTTTAAAGCTATCTCTTAGGGTATTATGACCATGAAGTTAATATTATTACTTTAAGGCAGTGATTAATTCCAACTGAAAATACCTCTTTGGGAGATAGAGCCCCTCCACAAATTAATTAAAATTAATTAGATTGTTTGGAGATATTGACAGGATAAGAATATTCACAGAGTGAATAAAGAAATGACTATTTATATTTCTCTTCCTAACTTCCTTTCTGTATTTCTCAGTTAAAGGAAATGATGGCCTGGATTCCTTGCATAGTTTGAATGATGCACAAAATCCCTGAAATGGTTGCAAAGTTTTGCATATGTTTGTGTATGTCACTGTTCTGTGAGAGGTATTCATTTCATTACCTTTTCTAAAGAGATCCCTGACCTTGAAATATTAAAAGCCCGACAAATGCCTTGGCTGAAACCTGCTTTGACTCAGAAAAAAAGAGAATTTTTCCCCTCAAATTATTCTCATAACAAATAATGCAGTTAAGTTATAAACAAACAAGTACGATCTGGCTGGGCGCAGCGACTCACGCCTGTAATCCTAGCACTTTGGGAGGCCGAGGCTGGCGGATCACGAGGTCAGGAGATCGAGACCATCCTGGCTAACACAGGTGAACCCCGTCTCTACTAAAAATAGAAAAAAATTAGCCAAACGTGGTGGCGGCGCCTGTAGTCCCAGCTACTCGGGAGGCTGAGGCAGGAGAATGGCGTGAACCCGGGAGGCGGAGCTTGCAGTGAGCCGAGATCTTGCCACTGCACTCTAGCCTGGGCGACAGCGAGACTGTCTCAAAAAAAAAAAAAAAAAAGTAAGATTTAAAGACTCTGATTTTATTTTCTTTGTGTTGAAATATTTGCAATGGTATCACCACTTTCTTTTCATTTTAATAAAAACTGTCAGTGATTACAGTAAATTTCATATTTTGGTCTCATTTTTCTGATTTGTTAAATGAGGATATAAGATGTTTGATAAGTGTTTGTTAAGCTTCAAATCTCCAGTCTGATTTCTTGATTCTTATTTAGCTCAATAATTATATTCAGTGAGTCAAGTTAAGCCAACTTTTTTCTTTTAAATACAATGGAAAGTTTTTAGACAGTAAGGAAGAATATCAGTTTAAATTATGCAACTCAATTTAAAGTTTATTTTATTTAATATTTTAAAACAAAAATACTTTTACTATATAGATATTTATTATATCTTTAAATTAAGAGTTGGATTAGCCGGGATGTATTTTTTTGGTTTTTAACTGGAGAAATCCTAATGTAAATGTGTATGTCACCTTTCTATCCTATTGTAATTTTTCCTTTTAATATTAATGACATGAAACTTACACAGTATTAAATAACACCAACTTTAAGGAGTTAGTCTTTTAAAAGACATCTTAGTATATTTATTTTTAATTGTTGTAAGGTGCATGTTTACCTGAGAAATGGTAAAGTATATAGGATTGAGTACCTGAATTCAAAACACTCAGGAAGTTATATGGGACCAGAGGCTAGATTTTATAACTTTTGGGAGGGGAGGTATACTTCATGGAACATATGCTTTTTTCTAATTTTTATGAGTAATTTGGTGCTGATTTTGAAGACTTTTTCCCTCTTCTTTATAATGCTAAATTTTGTTTCTTAGGTGTTGAATGATGTAAGATTTGGGAGCCTTTTGATTTCATAGAATTAAGACATATGAAAATATCGAATGGAAAAATCTTGGCTTCACTTTAATGTTCTTGATACTTAATTTTTTTCTTAATTACTATTTTACATTCTGTGATAAAGTAACGTATACAGACTGAACATCAGTGTTCAGCTCATCAGATCAGAACATCAGAGACAGCTCAACATCATATGCTTCCTAATGGAGGAACACAATACCCTCTATGGTGTTTTGGTAGTCTGACAAAAATAAATTGACCGGAATATGATCAAGTCTTTTGCTCTAACTACCAGTTTACAAGATTTAGAAGAGAGAGGAGCCTGTTAATTCATATCAGAATGATACAATTAGCAAAATCTAAATTATGGAATAAAACCATACACACACACAGCAGTTGCTCTAGCAAATTACAGGGAAAAAAAAGAGTTGGAGGGAAAACAAAAGATTAAAAGAGGCTTAAGTGACATATCAACCAAAGAATTTTAACTTTTTAGGGATACATACATATTTACAGATGTAATGTAAAAAGTGGTTTTGCCATTAGTGGCAATGTAATAATTGTGATGAGTAATTGGATAGTAGTAATTTGGGTACACTTTTAGAGTCATGTAATATACTATAGGGTTTAGTGTGAGATCTGCCATACATTAGTGAATGCTCTATATTTTAAAAGGAATACTTTAGGGAAAGTTTTCTTTCAAACATAGTTTGGGATTTATGATATTTCTATGAACTGTATATGCACACTTGCATAAATAGATGTATTTGAAAGTATAATGTTTATAGGAAATTTTTTGTCATTCTTATATTTGAGCCTAATGTATATGGTTTAATCAGGTTCCTTAAAATCACATAGCTCTCACAGGAGATTGCCCTAGTTTATATAGAGGTTCCAGAGCATTCAGACATACATCTTATATCAGAAACTTTGTAAAATGGTTTGCTTCTACTTTGCATTTTCCTTCATAAACTTTTTTTTTTCTTTAATTAGAAAAATATAAATTGGGTACAGATTTAATGCATGTCTGTTTCTCTTATTTTAAAGATCACTCTGTGCCTTTATATTTTATCAGATTTAATGATATCCATGTACCGATCCGCCTGGAATGTGTGAAATTTGCCAGCCATTGTCTCATGAACCATCCTGATTTAGCAAAGGACTTAACAGGTACTATATATATGTAACAGCAAATATTCTTACATGCTCTTCAGTGGAAAAAAGTTTCATAGGGGAAAAAAAATCCCTTTTTTGGGGGGCAGTAAGTAAAGTTTTGTTTTAGTTTAAGGTCATGGAAGTTGTTCTCTGAAGCTAGATTTTTTTTTTTTTTTTTAAAAGAGAGACAAGGTCTTGCTATGTTGCCCAAGCTTGCCTAGAACTCCTGAACTCAAGCTTTCCTTCTGCCTTGGTTAAATTAGTTTACCATGACTCACCTAAGTTCTTAAAATATTAAAGAACATTAGTCTTATAATCTAGTCAAAGTCAAGACCTGTTTAAATCCAAATGTCTAAAATAAGTTTAGAATTGTCTTTAAACTAAGAAACTAATAATTGTTCCTGGAGATAGACATTTTCGTAGATGCTTCCAGCCTACGTGAGAACTATGCAGTAGAAATTCTAGCTTCAGGCTGAGCACAGGCCAAGGCCGGTGGATCACCTGAGGTCAGGAGTTCGAGACCAGCCCCACCAATATGATGAAACCCTGTCTCTACTAAAAATACAAAAATTAGCTGGGCGTGGTGGCGTGCACCTATAATTCCAGCTATTCGGGAGGTTGAGGCGGGAGAATCGCTTGAACCTGGGAGGCAGAGGTTGCAGTGAGCCAAGATTGTGCCATGGGCAACAAGTGCGAATCTCTGTCTCAAAATAATAATAATAATAATAATAATTTTAAAAAAGCAGATATTTTACCAGTTTCATCCTTTTTGGGAGACATCCCACTTGGAGCTTTCTGGTTTCCTACTCACATCTGTACTCCTTAGACTGCTTGCTCTGAGCTTCTGCTATATAGCATTGACTTTAGTGTCATCCATTCTTCCTCCTATCTTTGCTCTCCCCTTCCATCCTCCTCCCTTCTTTTTCCCCTCCTTTCCTCTTCGTTTGTGTGTGTGTCTGTTTCTCCACCTCCCCTTTCTCCTTCCCTTTTTCTCTGGATGTTCCGTTTTTTTAAGCATCCTTTTCTTGTGTTGCTAATACAGTATTTTCACTGAGAGTGTCAATAGTAGTTTTTTGAGGAATTTATCTTTTTCTTCCAAAATGTCTGTTTCTGCTAATTTGTTTTTTTCACCTTATATTTGCTTTTGTCTTTGTTTTCCATGTTAAAGGCTTTGCTCAAATGATTGGCAATCCAAGGCCATCTGCTCATGATTAAGAGTGGGGGCGCTAAATTAAAAGCTGTTTGGAAAGCCCTGAGTATATGCTTTCCTCAAATGATTGGCAATCTGTGGCTATCTGCTCATGAGTAAGAGTTGGGGGCTGAATAAAAAGCTGTAATATTTGGAACACTCTGAGTACATGGTTGGGTCTGTCAACTCTGAACTTCACTTTTGAGTGATCAGAGTAAGTTGTTTGTTGGGGAGCCCTTAGTTTAGATACTTCCTCTTCATCCTGTCAAATTTCCAGTAGAAGAGTATCTTATCTAGAAGTTAAAGGTGAGTTACTAATGTGTTTGGGAAAAGAATGATGGGTTTCTGCATTCACATTTCAGATTAGTTGTCACATAATCCTCTTGGGGTATAGTATCCATGCCCTCAACTGTTTGATGTCCCCCAGTTTAGCGCTACTGTTTTATATTTTTATTATAGAATTTATCTCCAGACTTCTTTTGTTGTGGAATAGGGTCAGTATCCTAAATGGATTTCTCAAACAGCCTTCACCCAGTCCTTCCTTCTCTTCCTTGTTTTAAGATACGGAAGTACTTGTTGCTAGTTCCTATGCCTTTTGAAGAGTGTAGTATATATTGAGTTGGTTGACATGTTTTTCTTCTACTGGCTTAGGATTTTGTTTTCTTGGGAATCTAAGATTGGTTATATTTGTTCATCTGGTTTTTCAGAGCCTTTTTTTTTTTTTTTCCTGTTGTCTCTTACTTGTTCGTGCCATTCCTTTGGGTTTGTTCTCTGAAGTATTTAGGTGTGTTGTATCTCCAAAATATTTTTAATTGTATCACTCATCTTTAAGGAGCTTAAATAATTTTAAATAATTTAGTATGCAATAATTGTTCACATTTCTCTTAAAATTTATCTTTTTTCTCGAAAATTTTAGTGATATATAATCAAAATGATAATTTTAATACTTATTTATACTACATTATTATTTTCATGCCTTCATTTTAGATTTTGAATTTTTTAAAAGTAAGTTTTATTGCTTAGTTGTGATTTTTAAATTGTTTTTTAAGAGACAGGGTCTTACTCTGTTGCCCAGGCTGATTTTGAATTTTTTTAATTGAAATATTTGAATCATGTTTTTCAGTTATTAAAACCAGACCCCTGCTTTTTTGCCATTGATAACGTGTAACAGTGTGCACCATTGATTTGTACGTGGCTAGATAGAATTTTTCTTTCATTGAACTTGCTGTCATGTTAGGTTACATAGGTCACAGAGGATTTATACTGACTGAGCAGGAGAGAGGCAGTGCTGGAAATATCCTGCCAATGTATGCCTTTCCTTCTTAGGCTTATATTGGCTTCCCATCTCCTCTTTCCCAGTAGCCTTAGAGAGTCAGTCGTTTCTTGCTTTTTAACTTCTACTCGCTGTTGCTACAGATGAGGGCTTGCTTCATCCTTCTCTTAACTCATTCTGTAGAAGATTCTTTCTTTCTCCCCTACCTGAAATATGATGGCAGGTTTCAGAGGTTTTTACTGCTAGAGAAAGTGATAAAAGTGTAAGAGTAGTAAAGCAATCCTTGCTTTTGTTTGAAAGAGTGAGGCTTGAGACTGGGCACGGAGGCTCAAGCCTGTAATCCCAGCACTTTGGGAGGCCAAGGCAGGTGGATCGCTTGAGGTCAGGAGTTTGAGACCAGCCCAGCCAACATGGTGAAACCCCGTTTCTACTAAAAAATACAAAAATTAGCCGGGTGTGGTGGTGCACACCTGTAATCCCAGCTACTCGGGAGGCTGAGGCAGGAGAGTTGCTTGAACCTGGGAGACAGAGGTTGCAGTGAGCTGAGAGATGATGCCACTGCACTCCAGCCTGGGTGACAGAGCAAGACTCAGTCTCAAAAAAAAAAAAAAGTGAGGTTTTGATTTTTTTTTTTATTAGTTTCAGTCACATCTTCAGTTATTTTCTTTTAAACCCCATATACCCTGTTTCATTTTAAATTTCTCCAGCTTCATTCCTGACTAGCAGGATCATTTCACTTTCTACATGTGAACCTTATACTCTAGTGCTTCTCAACCTCATCAGACCCAGTCCTCCCTTTTTAAGCAAATAATTTGTAATTCTCCCTTAAATAAAATGAATAGATAAAACAATCCACTTAAAAAAGTTAAAAAATTAATTGCCCTATTTGTACTATACAGGAGAAACCAAAGGGAAGTAGTTTATAATAAAGTAGTATATATTTTAATATTTAAATGTTTGGATATGACATAGAGATAACAGATGCCTCCACAAGTTTCTCAATTATTCTCTGCCACAGGGGGATATGGAAAGTTCTGTGAATCCTAATTGGTAAAGTATTTGGATGACTACCTGAACACCTAACTCACATTTATCTGTATTTTAGAGAAAATATCAGAGTCTGTTCTACAGTTTTTTTTTTTAACTTAAAAAAGAAGTGTAATTAACTTAAAATGTACAGATCCTAAGTGTTCAGTTTGATGTTTGAAGAGACAGTGAATTTCCATGATGCCAAAAAGTCCCCCTATATCCCCTTCCAGTTAGTTCTGTCATCATTTTCTGATTTCTATTTCTGTAGGTTAGTTTTGCCTGTTTTTGAGTTTCATATATGTTGAATCATACAGTGTGTACTATTCTTTTTGAGGGTGGGGAATGGAGAGAGAGATCTGTCTGCTTTCATATAACATGTTTTTGAAATTTATCCTGTATCATTTATTCCTTATTGTTATTATTCTGTTGTATGAATATACAATAATTTGTTTCCTTCTTCTTTTGATGGTTATCTGGGTTGTTTCTGATTTGGGGCTGTTAATAGTGATTACTGTGAATAGCCTTGTACAAGGATTTCTGTGGGCTTATGTTTTTATTTCTTTTTGCAAACAGTAATGAAATTGCTGGTCATAGTGTAGATACATGTTTAACTTTATAAGAGACAGTGAAAACAGTTCTCCGTATTAGTTATGCTGTTTTACATTTGTCCCAGCAATGAATGAGAGTTCCAGTCATTTAGCATCCTTGACAACATTTTATGTTTTCAGTCTTTTTGTTTTTAGCCATTCTTATAGGTTCTTAAACTATTTTAAATGTTTTCAGTGTTCTTTCTGGAAATAAGCTTATTTATTGTTTTCTTTCCCGTTTGGGTTTTGTCCTTTTCCTTTGTCCTGTGACATTTAGTTGTTGTCCATCTGCCAAAATTTTGTTGACACATCTCTTGCTGTGATCTCTTGTTGTGATCTCTTCTCTTGTTATTTGTCCCCTTTAAAAAACTTTTGTTTTTTGAGACAGAGTCTCGCCCTGTCACCCAGGCCTGGAGTACAGTGGCACAATCTCAGCTCACAGCAACCTCCATCTCCTGGATTCAGGTGATTCTCCTGCCTCAGCCTCCCGAGTAGCTGGGACTACAGCTGTGTGCCACCACGCCTGGCTAATTTTTTTGTATTTTTAGTAGAGATGGTGTTTCACCATGTTGACCAGACTGGTCTCCTGGCATCAGGTGATCCACCCACCTCATCCTCCCAAAGTGCTGGGATTACAGGCGTGAGCTACCACGCCCTACCTTTTAAATTTTTTTTTTTTTTTTTTTGTTTGTTTTTTTTGAGACAGAGCTTCGCTCTTGTTGCCCAGGCTGGCGTGCAATGGTGCGATCTCAACTCACCGCAGCCTCTCCCTTCCACGTTCAAGTGATTCTCCTGCCTCACCCTCCCAAGTAGCTGGGATCACAGGCATACGCCACCATGCCCAGATAATTTTGTATTTTTAGTAGAGATGGGGTTTCTCCATGTTGGTCAGGCTGGTCTCGAACTCCTGACCTCAAGTGATCTGCCTGCCTCAGCCTCCCAAAGTGCTGGGATTACAGGCGTGAGCCACTGCGCCCAGTCAGGTTAGTGAATTCTTAAGTACCCAATCTACCAAATGGAGAGGAGGCTCTTACTACTCAGTTGGATGTCACTACTGTTTTTTGACTGAAGAACTAATTTTCTTTCTTTATTCCTTCCCTTCCTTTCTGGGCTCTTAATTTTCTTGAAACTTCTACTTAGGTATTGTTTTGCTAAGGCTTATTTTCAAGGGTATCTTGCAGTGTTTTAAAAACATTTTAGTTATTAAAGTTTCCATTGTAATAAAATGTTATCTTTCAGAGTATCTTAAAGTGAGGTCACATGACCCTGAGGAAGCTATTAGACATGATGTTATTGTGTCAATAGTTACAGCTGCTAAAAAGGATATTCTTCTGGTCAATGATCACTTACTTAATTTTGTGAGAGAGAGAACATTAGACAAACGAGTAAGTACAAATAAATAATTACTAAGTTTTCATTTTTAATACTTGAAGTTTAACAGTATTTGAAAATATATTTAAATATATATTTCAATATAATTAGCCTTTTTTAGGGGAGTGGAGGCATTTTAATATTTAAAATTATCTGAATGTAGTTTTACTTTTTGTTATATTAAATTGTATCAGTTTTTCTTCATCAAAGGTATTTATTCTAATCCTAAAAATAAGACAGCTCTTAATGGTAGTCAGATGTTTAGCCTGTATACCAGTGTTAATGATAAGGGACTTTTGTAAAGGCCTGAGATACAACTTCTTTTATGTTGTTGACTCTTCTTTTTCTTTCTTCTTTCAGGGCTATTGTTGTTATATGGGTATGAATTGGTAGTTGTCTAGCTGGTTGCATTATAATTAACATGGAATAGAGAATGAAAGATGTTTTCAACTTATAAAAGCTAAACCCGATAGAGTGCCATGCTTCTAGCCTATTTTCTGTGACCTCAAGCCAACTTTTTTGAATGAGTACCCACTAGCTCCACTCATTAATCAGTGAACTTGAGAGGACTGTATCTTGTTATGTTTGTGTTTCATATTGCATGGAATATATTAGGCACTCAGGAAATACTTTAATGGATGTTCGTTCCCTCCTGATTGGCCATAATAGTATCTAAGCCTCATTTAGGCATAAGAGTAATTTTGGTGAAGGATGAGACTTTTTGACTTAAGTACTAATTAGCAGACAAAGTGGGAGGCCTGCCTGTTGGTTGTTGGAATAGCTTTGACTAGGTAAATTCTTTAAAACATTGTAGGCCAGGCGCGGTGGCTCACGTCTGTAACCCTAGCACTTTGGGAGGCTGAGGCGGGCGGATCATGAGGTCAGGAGATTGAGACCATCCTGGCTAACTAGGTGAAATCCCGTCTCTACTAAAAATACAAAAAATTTGCCGGGTGTGGTGGCGGGCGCCTGTAGTCCCAGCTACTTGGGAGGCTGAGGGAGAATGGCATGAATCTGGGAGGCGGAGCTTCCAGTGAGCTGAGATTGTGTCACTCCAGTCTGGGCGACCGCAAAACAAGACTCCTTCTCAAAAAAAAAAAAAAAAATTGTAACAGGTTGATCGTGCCATCTCCCTTGTTTAATACTGTCCTTGATAATGCTGGTTGTGCGTGGAGGATAAATGGGCAAGAAGCACATGGTTTTCCTTTCAAATCTATAGGTATCCAGAACAATTTATTTTAACTGATAAATTTAGACTTTATTGAATATTTCATTGTGGTATTAGTTAGTGAAAAGGGCCAAAAGACATGGAGGGAAAGGATATTTGCATTGTTCGTAGCCTTCTAAATGACTTTTTTTTCAGCTAGACTTAGAATTTGAGCTGTTTTTGTGTATTGTTGGAATCATAATGTGTATTTTTGATCATCATGTTATGTTCATTGTATGATTGCTTGATTCATTCATATAAAAATTGAGCACTGAAAAATAATTGACTATATATATGTTCTTGGTAATATTAGAATATGATGTATCTTTAAATTCTCTTCGAAGAAGAGGGAATTAAGAGTTAGAGATACAAAGTTTTTATAAACAAATTGAAATCGTATTTATTTTTTTGAGACAGAGTCTCCTTTTGTCACCCAGGCTGGAGTGCAGTGGTGCCATCACAGCTCATTGTAGCCCTGACCTGGGCTCCAACAGTCCTCCCACCTCAGCCTCCTGAGTAGGTGGGACTACAGGCGTGTGCCACAATGCCTGGCCAATTTTTTTTTTTTTTTTTTTTAACTTAAAGACAGGGTCTCGTTATGTTGCCTAGGCTGGTCTCGAATTCCTGGTCTCAGGCCATCCTCCCACCTTGGCCTCCCAAAGTGTTAGGATTACAGGCATGAGCCACCATGACTGGCCTGAAATCTTTTTAAGATTTGTAGAAGTTTTTTATTTCAATATGTAGTTGGTGGATGAATGAGACAAGAAATATTCTTAATATACTGTAATTAAGTGAAAGAAAAACCAAGGGAATAATTTGTTGCTATGAACGACAGACTATAACGAAGGAAAAAGGACCATAAAGGAAAAAAGTAATAATCTCTGCAGATTCATGATGTTTTCAACATTACCAGCTTCCTTTTGATTACAGTGCTGTGTTTATGTAAAATTAAAGAATGAACTTATTCTAAGATAATGAATGTCAGATGCACTGTAACAAATATACACTTGTTTAAGAAAAAGTTGAATACATTTCCCTTATACTTCAACTCAGTCCCAGATGTACAGAATGGACCACTGATAAGTATTTTTACATTCAGCATTTGATAAAGCCAATATCATATGCCTTTAATACATCTTAATTACTATTATTTGTAATAGTGTAAGTATGCTCAATATAGACCCTAATTAAGAAAAAAATTGTGAGGAATGGGTCACAGTTTATCTATTTAATTCTGTCTTTGTGTTTTAATGTTTACTTTCTTGAGCTGGCTGCAGTGGCTCATTCCTGTAGTCCCAGCATTTTAGGAAGCTGAGGTGGGAAGTTTGCTTGAGGCCAGGATTTCGAGACTAGCCTGGGCAACATAGTGAGACCCTGTTTCTACAAAAAACAAAAATAAAAAATTAGCTAGGTGCGGCATTGTATGCCTGTAGTCCCAGCTACTTGGGAGGCTGAGGTGGGAGGATTGCTTGAGCCCAGTTGTTCGAGGCTTTGGTGAGCTGTGATTACACCACTTCTCTCCAACCTGGGCAACAGAGACCCTGTCTCTAAAAATGCATGAACAAAAATTTTGGTAGCTTGTTTTTCCTCACCAATTTTAAGTCACAATATGTAGAGTGTGATTAGCTTTTGTTTTGAGGCATAGATGATAGGTTTAAGACATTAAAGCGTTAAAGTTCTTTACACATGTTGATTTTTCTCCCATAGTTTACATAGTAGAAATATTTATGTGATAGTTGTGTGCTTTTTTTTAATATAGTAATTATAAATTGATATTTAGTATCTGAGACTTGAAAAAAATCTGTAAAGGGAAGGAAAACACAAAACTAGGAAACTAGACTTTCCCTAGTTTATATAATGGAAGACTTTTTACATTATAAATAAAACTTTTTGTTTTTAAGTGGAGAGTACGCAAAGAAGCCATGATGGGACTTGCCCAGATTTATAAGAAATATGCTTTACAATCAGCAGCTGGAAAAGATGCCGCAAAACAGATAGCATGGATCAAAGACAAATTGCTACATATATATTATCAAAATAGTATTGATGATCGGTAAGTTAAGGACACTATAAATATTTGGTGACTTTGAATGTTATATAACTTGATTTATTGGTTTATGCAAACTATTTTCTTTATGACCTTACACTTTTCCCTCAGTTTTTAGTATAAGGTAATGGTAGTGAGTGACTGGGCTCATTCCCACCCAAGCCATAAATGAAGCAGTAATGTACATATAACTTTAGGGATGGGTACAGGTTTTATGTCCCATATTCTGATACAAATACATATCATATTTGAATACCATATTCAAATACAGATATTACTATATTTGAACAGTAATATCTAAAAATAGGTTTGTGTATAGTTATAATTTTAGTTCATAGGTAATTGTGTTACAGGGATCTTCATTAATTTTTTTCAAATAAAACTTTAAAAACCTGTTGGATTTTACACATTTAAAAACAATTTCTACTGAAGACTAAAAAATAGTTTATAAATTTATATAAAAAACACGTTATCTGAATATAATCTTAATATTTTTTCCATTCCAGGCTCAGATTAGATCTTGTATGGACTGTAGTCATTTATTAGTTAATAGAGCTCTAAATCCTACTTATAGTCTGAAATGATTTGATAGATTAGTGGAAACCAAATGATTTTGCCTGTAGCAGATCAGAATGAGAAAATTAAGAAGCAGGTCATAGTAAAATTTTAAGAGGCGTAGATACTAAAAACTGGATTATCTATGAAACTTTATAGTTTTTATAAAATTGAAGTTTTTGTACTTTTTGAGGGTATGACATTAGTGCACAAAGAATTACATTATGATTTTGTAGGACTTTTTTTTAGTACTTTTAGCCAGGTCTGTTTTCATGATGATGCCTATGAAAATGCAAAAGAATCTTAAGAGTTTCTTTAGTTTTGACTTAGAAATTTAGAACTTGGAAATTTGAAAGGACCTGTCGTATTTTAAAACTCTGCATTATACAGATAAAGAAAAAATCCCTGATATATAATGTGCCCAACATCCTGGAGCTGGTAGTTGTCTTAGCTGGGTGTAGGGCTGTTTTCAGCACATACAGCTAAATCCTGTTTTGGTCCCCTTCTGTCTACAGTTAGAAGGTTTTGATTTGGAAATCTCATTTCCACTCAGAGCAGCAGGAACTTCTTTAATATATGTTCTTTACATAGTTTTGGAATTTTATATATAACTTTAGAACATTACAAAAAAATCATTGCAATGCCTTCTCTGCTTTTTTGTAGGTTACTTGTTGAACGGATCTTTGCTCAATACATGGTTCCTCACAATTTAGAAACTACAGAACGGATGAAATGCTTATATTACTTGTATGCCACACTGGATTTAAATGCTGTGAAGTATGTTTCATATATCAAACTCTGTTCTTTTCATCTTTTGCAATATATTGGATTTTATCAAAAAGAAACTACAAACACCTGTATTTTAAATTGTAATCTATGTAGTGTAAACATTATTTAAAGGGTTATGTCATAATATAATACTTCGCTATTTTTTCAGAAAGTACCACTTTAAACATGAGATTAAGCCATAAGCAATTGAAAGATAGAGCTGATTGACATGAAATCTTTTAGGATGAGTTTTCTGTTCATATTGTTGGTGTCTCAAGAAACGTTGATGTACCTATTCTTTTTCGTTTGTTTTCCTTAAGACATTAAGAAACATTCATGTTATGAAGATACTACCTTTTTATTCTCACTTGGTGTACTGATTTGCATTACGGTGTAGAGCAGTAGGCTGCAAATTTTGTGCTGCATAGCCTGAGCAGCACCATGTTATAGTTTGACATAAGAGTAAGCACAAATATATATATTTTTTGTAGTTAAGAAAATACTTTTGGGTGTTTAGGTAAGATGGCATTGGGATGTTAGACATGGAAAAGGCATTGTTAGTCTAATCGAACCATACTAAGGGTTAGGAAATTGAAGTCTTAGAGATTTGCTTCAGGTTTTAGGAAATGTAGATCCTTACTATTCCAGCAAATGTGGTTTACAAGTATTGGGGATTAAATGTTGAGAAATTGGAGAGATCTAAGGGACTGTATGTAATTTTCATTTATACCACTGTTTAATGAGACTTTGACTTCATTTTTTCCATGGAAATTTTATTTTCTGTTTATGTTTTATACAGAAATATTGAGGAAAAGATTGTAGAGGGGAGAAATACACCTTTTTTCCCCCCTACCTGCTGTATTTCAGGCACTGGAATTTGTATTATGTATTACTGCTTTTGTGCTACTGTGGAAAAGTAGGTTGCAAAGAGATCTGATTGCCCACAAAGCTTAAAATATTTACTGTCCGGCCTTTTACAGAAAAAGCTTGGCAACCCTGGCTTAAGTGATATTTTTCCTGTTTTACATATGATGAAATGAATCACACAGATGTTGCATTCCACACAATCACACAAAGAGGAAGAGGGAGTCAGAATTTGCACTCAATCCTACTTAGTTCCAAAGCTTATTTTTCCACTACACATAGTAAGATACATTACTCTCATATTTAATTTTATTTCTTGTAAACTTTTCTGTGGAATTGGAATATATCCTAAAATTGTTGGTTTGTCATAGCCTAATTGGTGGCTCTTTTTCTCATGGCAAAATCAATTGATGGCCTCTTAAATTGGATGAAATGTGGTATTTATATCATATTCAAAACAACCTATTGGAAATCATACTAAATCTAGACTTCTCTACTCAATCCCCAGCTATCATTCAAGACTAAAAATGAAATGTCACTTTTAAGCGAAAATGAAGAATTTGCCAGTCCTACTTGAAAAAAATTATTAAAGAATAGCCTTGTTTTGGTAAGAAAGGAAATTAAATCTATAAAGAAGTAATAAGATTCAAGAATTTGAAACATTTCTATAAGTATAAATAATAAAGGACTGTAAAAACAGTAATAATACAGTTTTATTTGCAAGGGGTGGGAGTGTGGATTAAAAAGTAGGTAGCATGTAGGCCAGTATTTAGCCAGTACCATACACCACTGCAGTACTATGTGAGATTTCCTGAGTGTCCCTGCAATCCTCCGTCCTATGGCCCTACCATGCCTGGGCAAGGCTGGAATGTCTCCAGGACCTTCTTCCACTGCCCATGGTTCTGACTGGTTGATGCCTGATGCCTTTGTGAAAAATTTTGACTGCAGGTGGGTCCTGTAAGATAACAGCATGTAAGGTGATAGGTAAGTAATGAGTATGAAGGTGTTCCAAGGTTCTTTTATCATATTAGTGAGGGCAGACATGTTGACTAAGTATGTCATAAGTGGGCATTTAACAGTTTCCTCTGAAAGCAGTTAAAATGTATAGCTTCCAAACACAGAGGAACAAAAAATAATTAATGAAAACTTTAATACCAGAAACAAGATAGAAAACAAGAAAAATAACAGTAAATATACAAAGTATAAATAGTTGTTATAAAACTAAGCATGTCAGATATCACTCGTCACTTAAATAAGTATATTTGATTGAATTCAAAAGTGAAACAGTGCTATTCACAAGCGATACTTTGAAAAATAATGCCATTGAAAGTAAATTCCAATCTGGACCGGTACTCAAAAGGAAAGGCTTTGATTCTACAAAATGGTTGGTGAATGAATGGGTATTTATCTGTTTTAAGATAAAACATTTAGGGTACATATATATCATTTTTTAGATGATTTTCACTTTAACCAACTTTTTGTGATTAGTTTACCAACTGTTATACTTACCAGTATTTTAGTACTTTATCTGTGGTTGTTTTCTCCAAAATCCATTACCTTTTTTATTATGTAATAATAATAAATCACATATATATGTTATGAAGCATAGTAATAAAATAAAAATACCTATGAATCTATTACTCAACTTGTAAACTTTTCTCCCATTCATCTTCCTCCCAGAGGTAACCTCTACCCTTGTTGCCTTTAAAAAAAATTTTTAACATGTATGTATATGTGTGTGTATATAGGTGTATCGCTCAGTAATATATTTTTGCTTGTTTTTGAACTTTATGAAAGTGAAACAACTATGTATATAGTGTTTTGTGTCTTTTTTCTATTCTATTTCCAAGATTCATTCATAATATTATACATAGCTGTATCTCATTCATTTCACTGTGCTATAAAATTGCACTGTCATTAATCCATAATTTTATTCCATTATTTTGATATCAGAAATTTGAGTCATTGCAGAAAATGGATGTCTGTATTCCATTTTTATTTATTTATTTATTTTTACTATTTCAAATAGTGCCACTGTAAATACTTTTCAATTTAATATACACATGCAAGAGTTTCTGTAAGGTATGAATATGAGTTATTCTCAAATTTAGCTACTTATTCAAATCACCGTGGGAGGTTTAAACAATTGAAAACTAAGTCCCTCCTTCAGAAATAGTTACTTAATTTGTCTGGAGTGTAGTCTGAGCATTTTGATTTTTAGAAAAGCCTTTCAGGAGATTTTAATGGGCCACCAAGGTTCATAATCGCTAGTATATAGCTGGGAGTGGAGTTTCTGACTATGTGCCTTTTCATCATTGTAAACTAGTATCAAATTGTTTTCCTACATGATTATACTAGTTTATACTCCTATCAGTGGTTTATGGATTTCTGCATCCTCCTGTATATTATCAGACATTTAAATTTTTCCTAATCTTTTGAGTATCAAATTTTCTTATCTTTAATTTTCCTGAATACAGATAATACTGATCTTTTATAGTTTTATGGTCCATTAATGTTCTGATTTCACCACGCACCTCACTACTCTGTATTACAACACCTGTTCCTCTTTATTCATTTAAATTACATTCTAGCCCTGAAGTCATTTGAATATGTGACTTCAACTTAGTTTGAAAGGGACTTAAAAATAGCTGCTTGTCGGGCATGTTCCTAGTGAGAACTTGTTTGGTTAGGATTCCTCTTATTTGTTGAAAGAGCCGTATGTTTTATTCTCTGACTACTTTTCTTTGGGGAAGACAAAGTATTTCTTAGATTTGAGACTTTTTATGTGAATCAGTTTTTGAATAAGCTCCTAAGTAAACGAAATACCTTGATTATTGAAAAAGAGAACAGTGTGTACTTCCACCTCTCACAAGTTCCCCAGCACTCCTATTAGCGACAGTAGTAGAAGATGGTATCGGGGTCTTCGGTGTGATCTTCTCTTTTATTAAACAAGTTTGCATCTAGATAGTTTTGTACTTCTAAGTTCCATGGGTGATTTGTCAGTTGGGAGGTAAAGGTTGGAGGACAGGTCCTCTTCAACATTTGGACAGGCCACTGACTGAAGCCTGATGGTAGCTGTCTTTTTCTTTGAGTTGCTGCAAACTTGTGGTTTGGTAACAAGGAGAACTGTGGGAACTAATTGTATATTTAAAATGTCAGGTAACAAATATAAGAATATCCAGGCTGTAACTGGAGTTTTTACATTTACTTAGCAACAGAACTGCAATTCAGACTATTATTAAATAGAGATTTTTCTTCCTGTTGTAATATTGCTTCTCCTAGTATAACTTTTTTCCCTTTTTTAGACAATTATTTAGAAAGGCAGTAAATAGGCACAGATTGCCTTGCTAATTAATACAATTTTATTAAAATACTTGAAATGACAGTTCCTATAAACATGTTATAATACAAGTTCTTAGAGATGGTCACTTTCTGTTTTAAGCTATAACCATAATAGTTTATAATGGGCTTTAAAATAGCTTGACATTTTATCTTTAATGAGTAACTATAACAGGTAATTTCCCTTTTATTTTAAGTGAAAGCAAGCTTCAAAATCTAAGCCTTTCAGAAGTTAGAATGATTAAGTGTATAGGAAAGAGAGAATACATTGACTTTGGAGTTCAGAAGTAATTTTACAAATGACTACTACATTTCTTTGAAAATTATTTTAATCATATAACTCTTGTTAGATTTTTAGTCCTCTGGAGTATGAACATTTTGCTTTCAATGTTTATATTCTTAAACTGTGCTTATGAAAATTTATAGAACTTAGTAACTTGAAATTAGTAAAGTATAACTATTTAAAATATAACTTCTAAGATGAAAATGTCCTCATGTTGCTTTGCCAGTACCATGTTGATGTGACTACTGTAAAGGAATTCAAGTGTCCCAAATTTGAACTGGTTTATCACCTTTAAAAAATCAAAAGGCATTTTTCAAACATATTGTTAAAGGGGAGAATTAAAATATGAAACAGTGTTCTTTGTCTGTTACAAGAAAAAGAGTTTTTTATATGCATCTGTGTTACTGCTTTTTGGCAGTGTTTCATATGTATGGTAATAGAGGTTAATAGAAGTGTAGAATAATTGAAAACAAACGGATGAAAAGTATTCCTTGTTTTGGGAGATTTCCTTAAAAATTTTTAATTCTGTGGTTCTAATCTGTAATCAAGTATTTCATTAACATTAATTATTCTCTATATATTAATACAATATTGTTGTTTATATATTTTCTTTTGTACTTGTATAATTTTTTTTTAGATTTAAATTTCTGCCTGAGAACAATACAACTATTAAGAGAACATCAGAGTTTTTGACATATAAAAAGAATATTCACTTATAAATAATTCCAGACTGTTTAAAATTTAGTTAAGATTTGTCTTAAGAAAAAGTATCCCCATTCTCTTATAACTAATTCTTCTTTTTATGTCTTTGATTCCATTTCATCCTGCCTGCTACAACACCTTATGATGTCAGTTATTCCTTTATTTCTCAAGTTTGTAATTTATCTGGTTAGTTCCTACCCTAATTCGACCACTGATTATTTCTTTTGATCCTGCTGTGTTATATTTGATTCCATTATTTCCCTCTACACATTATCAGTTGCTTAGTCCTGTGAATTTCATCTCATCTCTGTCATCTCCTTTTGTAATTTGAACCTTAAATTATATAGTTGTAATATTCTAGAAAGATTTTTATTCTGTTTTGTTATTTAAATGTGTATGTTTGTGTTTTTCAGAGCATTGAATGAAATGTGGAAATGTCAAAATCTGCTCCGACATCAAGTAAAGGATTTGCTTGACTTGATTAAGCAACCCAAGGTAAGAATTTTTTCTTCAGTGTTTTTTAAAACACATGTATTTTAATTACTATTTACCATTGCTGCTACAATTCTGTTTGCACAAGTTCTGACTGTAGAAGTTAGGATTCCTTGCTTAGAAAACTCTTAATTTTTAAGAAACTTATTAGATAGAAAGTGGTAAGTGTTTACATCTGCAAAAGGTAATACCCAACATAAAACAGAGTATGGGTCTCTGTACTCAAAATTAAAGTTTTTTGGTAGCTTTAAAATAAAGATGTAAACAATAACTCAGCATTATTGAAAGCATAGAAAATAGAAGGAAATTACACTTTGTGTTGCCACTGTAAGATGTTCCTTACTTTTTTGTATACGCTTGTGGTTTTAGAAAGTTTCAATAATTATGTAATTATAGTTAGGTATCTTGATATTTTTACTTAATATTTATGGAGATTTTAATGTACTATCTAGTATTTATAATTTAATGGTCGTATTCATCCATTGGATGTATCATATTTTATCTTTTATCAATCATTTAGAATGATTCTAGGGTTTTTTTTTTTTTTCATTGAAATGCTGTATATAGACATGTAAAAGGCATAATTCATCTAAAAAGCAGTGTGCCTGGTCATTTTAAATTGCCTTCAGAGAAAGCAAGAATATTCTTTTTTTCTTTTTCAGTATAGAGTGCTCTTTCTCAATCTCTTTTCCACACATACACTTCACAGGATAGAGGTCAGTGGAGCAGTGTTGTTTTCATCTAAGGGGTGAAAATTTTCACCTTTTCCCTAGGCATAAATTCACCAGTTGCTCTACAAATAAAAAAACTCACACCATTTGTTTGAGTGGTTTATAGTGACCCTCTCACTATTTTTTTAAACCTTCAGATCACTAGTAATAAGACATTTTGTACCACTTTTTTGCCTAATTGAAGCTTACATTTGAGTAATATTTTTGTTATAGACAAACAGTGATCTCTTTGTGTTTTATTGAACATAACCTTTTTTCTGTGATTATTGAGTATATTGAACCTGTTAAAATATGTTTTCCCTTAAAATAAATGACTTAAAACTAATTTAGTGATTTTGCTGTTTCCTTTCTCTTAAACCCTGTTAAATTAGTATGTTTTAGCCAATAAGCATGTTTCAGTTAGTGTCATAATGCAGTAAGTTAGTATATTTTCGTTAATAATCGCTGGATAAAGTGCCTCTCTCTGCTACTTGGAGCTCTGTGTATTTACCTCTTTATGGCCAAAGATGTAAGAGTGTTAATTAAAAATATAAGGTGTTCTTACTTACATGTATAAAAAATTATTTGTGTTTGGGTATTATTGAAATCGTAGTAGCATCCAAGTAGTATATTAAGTGTATAAATCATATGTTGAACAGCATGATGTGTGAGATTGTAATCAAATATAACTTTGTTTTTGATTATCACTGTTCCTCTAAAATTTATGTATTTAGATGGAGCTTCTTCATTTTGCCTGTTGTTAAAAATTGGGAGGGTCTTAGACTTTCCTGCTGAGTCATACATGAAATCACTAAATACAGTCTCAATTCAACTGGAATGTTTAGTTCTCTTCTACAGTGTGGAATTTTCTTTTTGCTTGTTTTAAAATAATTATCCAGTTATCCACATTAAAGATGGAGTTCTCATTCATGTGTGGTGAGTTTGAAAAAGTAACAGAATGGAGGAGGATAGCCCACCACCGCTTCATTCCCCCCAAATAAAACAGTGGCAGCAGAAATCTTACATTTCTAGACAGCTGTTTGATGCTTTAAATTCCAAATATTTGGGAATTATTTCTTGAACTTTATTATGCTTTAACTCTCAGTTGCTCTTAGCAAGCTCATTCTCAATAGGTATGGTCTGTTTGTATATATATTTGATTTTATTGCTTTCAGTTCAGTGTTTATTTAGCTCAGTACTTTAAATAAACTTGCTCAATGACTTTTTGTTTCTGTTTTTTAAAATAACACTATTCTGATGTAGTGAATAATTAGCACTCTAAGAGATGTCTTTTATACATGTGACTTTACATGCCGTAGTACATGAATGTATTACATACAGTATAATGTAGTGAATTAATTCACTGAAATAACACTTCCCTGATGCAACCCATAACTAACACTCTTAGAAACAACTTTTTGACATGTCAGTCACATCTTGTCTTTAGTGTCTTCCCCATAAGCTTCATGACTATGCCTTACAGCTCTCAGGTCTAAACATTGTAGGAGTTTTCCCTGTTCTTTCAGCTCTAAAAACAACAGCAGCAACAACAAAAACTCCCAAAATACCTACCTGTTCCAACATGTAGTGCAGCTGTCTGATTTCTGTTTGGAGGCTAACACAACAGGGTGAGATAAGTAAGACGTAATGAAAGTGGAGAAAGAGTTTACTTTTACCTCCTGTCCAGTTTATCTAGAGTTTAATAAAAATGATAAAGAAGGTGACAGTAGTGGTAAGAGCACGGGTCTGCAGCATTTAGTGGGTTATGCTTGTCTAATTTTTTGCAGAGTGTGATGAAGTTTTTTGTGAGGGAATTTTAATTTTGCATTTTTTTGTGTGATTTACAGACAGATGCCAGTGTCAAGGCCATATTTTCGAAAGTGATGGTTATTACAAGTAAGTTATTTTAAAATCTGTATAAAATGTAATTTTAATTGAAATATTTTTATAATTTAAAGTGTTTCATGCAGTTTTGTTCTAGGCTATGATAATATAGGAATTTTAAATTTTCTTTAGTTTCTTATGTGAGCTAGAGCTGGAGAAAGAATTTAGTACATAAATTTATTTTTAAGAGTTTATTTAAATCATCATGTAAAAACTTATAAAAACTGAATCTGTTTGGTATTGCTTGTTCTGATGTGACTAACTGAAGCTAATTCACTCCAAGCCTAAATATAAAGGATATATCTAATAACTACATACATAACAGCTTATTTGAAAAAATATTAATTTGCTTTTTTGCTTTAGGTGATGTTAAGTAAAATGATATTTCATTTAACAGTAAATACAAAAGGATTATATGGAACATCTCCTTTGTTCAGTGTAAAAGTAGGGAAAAGTTGCTGTTTTTGTGGGTCATTTGCTTTTCCTCCCACCTCAGAGGTCACTGTGTATAGCAGATGGACAGAGGGATAATCAGAAACACCTGGAGGAATGCTTCTACTGAGCTTCCACTTGGTGATAATGAAGATATCTTAAGATGAATCTGAGACGCCAAATATTCCAAGATGTGTATGAAAGTAAAGTTAAGACACTGAAGATAATAGTAAACCTAACTCACTGGGTTTTGGATTAAGTAACGGGAGTATTAGAATGAGTAGAACTTTAAGACCAAAATCTCTTTCTGTCCTGGGAAAACTACTTTCCAGTCACCTGGATAACTTGCTAAAGCAAGTTGTTTTGTGCTATTCCTTAAAAAAAAAATAATTTGATGTTTAAAGAAGAGATCTTGCTCTTTTGCCCAGCGATGAAGTGCAGTGGCACAATCATAACTCAAAGCTATCTTGACCTTCTAGGCTCAAGCCATCCTCCTGCCTCAGCCTCCTGAGTAGTTGGGACTCCGTGCATGTATTACCACACCCGGTTAATTTAAAAAATACATATTTTTAGACACTAGGTCTTCCTATGTTGCCCAGGCTAGTGCTGAACTGCTGGCCTGAAGTGCTGGGATTACACGTGTGAGCCACGGTGCCTGGCCTATCACCTTTTTATAGTTTGGCTATGGATTCTGTCTCCTAAAAGAGGTCATTCCCTAAGTTCTTTTTTTTTTTTTTCCTGTCAGTTTTCTTCCAGTGAGTTCAGTATTTCCCAGATTCTGTTTCAAGGAATGCTAGTATCCTGCAGGTGTTAACTTAGTATTGTGAGAAAAAGGGATTTCATTGTCGTATGTGTTTATAGAATGCTAAATTAAAGGAGTTTTCTTTCTCCCTTCTTTTCCCTCCCCCCCTTTTTTTCCTGAAATAATAGGCCTTATTGTAGCCTTTATTATGATGCCCATCCATTATGAAGGGGCTGTAAAATAACACTTTCCAAAATTATTTGAAAAAATACCTTTTCCTGAACACTGTTAAACTCCATTGAACTACTAGTGATCTTTGGAACACAGATTGCGAAGTGCTGAACTAGCAGTTTTCCAGCTTGCCCTCAGGTGCTTATTATGTAAACTTATAAAAACATTCCATTTATCTTCTATAAGTGATCGTGTTTATCTGTTGTACTATAATGTGGTTCTCTTTCTTTGCAGACTTTTTTCTATTATAGAAACATGAAAAGGTCATACAGAAGTATTTAGGATTAATATATTAATAGATTCTTAACTACATTAAGTCATTTAAATATCTCACCAAGACATAAAATGGGATTTCAGAATTGTATGTCAACTTGAAGACTATGTTTACTATATTCATATTTTGGGATTCCTTCGAATTTCTACTACTATTAGAACTTTGATAGTCCAAAGTTCTGTTTTTGGGTTTTTTTTTGTTTTTGTTTTTGTTTTTTTTTTGGGGGCGGAGTCTTGCTCTGTCACCTAGGCTGGAGTGCAGTGGCGATATCTCAGCTCACTGCAACCCCCACCTCCTAGGTTCAAGCAATTCTCTGCCTCAGCCTCCCAAGTAGCTGGGATTACAATCGCCTGCCACCATGCTGGGCTAATTTTTGTATTCTTTTAGTAGAGACGGGGTTTCACCATCTTGGCCAGGCTGGTCTTGAACTCCTGACCTTGTGATCCACCTGTCTCGGCCTCACAAAGTGCCGAAGTTCTGTTTTACAATTTCTGTTGTTGGAGATGCCATATTCTAGTCTGGCTCTCTACAACAGTTAAGAAGCCAGGAAAAAACGATACCACAGTCAACATTTTACTAGCTTTCATAAGTATTTTGATACATAGACACATTAGCAGAATAGTATAAAAATCATTTTTGATTTTACAAAGATTCATTCTTTCCCATGCAGTAATGACTTACCCAGCAGTAACACCTGGAATAGGTTGCTCAGTATATGTCACTGCTAGATAGCAAGAATGTATATGTAAACTCTCTGGGTTGGTTTAACAATAAACAGGGAAATACAGGAAAATAGTTCTTAAAGGTAAAACTTAGTGATTAATCTCTTAAATTATAAGAGAGCAGTGTGTGCAGCAAGCTCAAGGGGACATTAATAAAATTGGCATTATTCAGGTTGACATTTGATGCCTTTAAATATTACAAGGGATTACTTGGAAGTAGCCATTTTAGTCTTTCCTTGCGTATATGTCCCTTCACAATGATCCTGTTTTATATTTCTAGAAAATATATTTTTATTTGTGAAAATTGACTATTGAAGGTGTTTCACAATTTAATTTCTTAAACTAATCTGAATTTGTAGGTAAGGATTTTAAAGCAATAAAAGAAATGAACACATTGACCTGTTATTATTTTAAGAATTAAAAAAATTGATTTTAATTGAACTTTAATTTATTTTAAGGAAATTTACCTGATCCTGGTAAGGCTCAGGATTTCATGAAGAAATTCACACAGGTGTTAGAAGATGATGAGAAAATAAGAAAGCAGTTAGAAGTACTTGTTAGTCCAACATGCTCCTGCAAGCAGGCTGAAGGTTGTGTGGTAAGGACAGTAAAGAGCTAATGTTTGAAAAAGCCCCCAAATCTTCTTTATTGTCTCTCTCTTTTATAAAAGTAATGTATATTCATCATATAATTTGAAAAATGTCACATAAATAACAATGCAGATAAACTGTAATTTCTCCATAGAGACAATTGCTGTTAATATTGTGGTGTATGTCCTTCTATAAAGTGAGATTATATTATACGTACAGTTTTGTACATTTTACTTTTTCATTAATTAGTCTTTTCTAGTATTTAATAACTCCATTGAATACATGTACTATAATTTATTGAGTAGTCCACTATGTTACACATTCACATTTTTTCCTACTTTTTGGTTACTATGAAGAAGAATATAATTAATATTTTTACACAGTCTTGATTCTTTCTTTAGGATAAATTCTAAGAAGTACAATTGCATAGGTTGACAGCTCATTTTTAAAGCCTTTAATATGCTTTGGCAAATTGTTCTCCAGAACTGAATTACTTTTATGCTAATCACCAGTAATGAGAGTGACTGTTTTCTCACACATAACAATATTGGTCAGTGTCATTGCTGGAAACAAAACCCAAGTGAAAACAAAAACACAATATTTTGATAGTATTTATATTTGTTAGTCGCTATTCATCTGACCGTTTTTTTCTCCTTGGGATTATTGGCCATTCATATTTATTTTGTAGGTTGTGTTTATAATATTTGCTATTTTTATAGAATGGTATTTGTCTTTATCTTATTGATTTGTGAGTTTGTCATATGGCTGGCATTTGTTAAGTTGCAGATTATTTTCTGTCAGTTTTAGTTTACCCTTTTTGTTTATTATGTTCTTTGCATACCATAGTTTCTATCTTTATCTAAGTAAGTCAGTATTTACCTCATGGTGTTTGACTTTGCTATCTTGCTTATGAAATCCTATTCTGTTATAAGTGAATGAAAATATTTATTGTTGTCAGTGATTCTTGATCTGTTACCTATGTACCTTCTGAAATGCTTTTTAGAGAAAGATGATTCTTGACTTCACCCCAGATCAACTAAATGAGAATCTTCAGAGTTAAATTCAGGAATCTGTAGTTTTAACAAGCTCTTCTGATAATTTTACTTCCTCAAGTTTGTTCATCCAGTGACTCTTGGTTTTATTCATTTGTATTTTTATCCTTTTGGAATATTTTTGATGTAATATATGAGACAGGGGCCTTACTTTGTTTTTATTCCAAATGTCTGTCCAATTATTTCAATACGGTGTATTGACTAGTCTACTTTTCCCTGATTACTTGAAATATTACCTTTTTCATATGCTAAATCCTTAATTCAGTCTTTTTTTCTGGACTTGTTCAGTTCTTATTGATTTGTTTATTCCAGCGTCAGTGTTACATGGTTTTAATTGTTGTTGGTTCTTAATATTATAACATAATGATTTGTTTAAATGTACTTTTGTAATACTGAAAAAATCTGTATTACAGCGTGAAATAACTAAGAAGTTGGGCAACCCCAAACAGCCTACAAATCCTTTCCTGGAAATGATCAAGTTTCTCTTGGAGAGGATAGCACCTGTGCACATAGATACCGAATCTATCAGGTATTTGTATATAAAATACTACATTCTCATTGCTGTTCATTCATTCATGCATTCAGGAATCGGTCATTGTTGAGTGCCTGCTATATACAAGGCACCAAACTAGCTACACATCTGTGTGTATTGTGTACTCCTCTGTATATATCTGTATTTGTATATGCACACACACACACACACACATATATACACTCATCTGTACCTGTATATTTGTTGTTTTTCTTGTTATTTATCTTAATTTTAAGGATTGGTTCAAATTGTGTGAAAAATTGTCAATCTAAGCCTAATTTTATCTGTTAACAGTATACCAGACACTCTTCTTTTTTGTTAACTTGCATAGTTTAGGTAATATAAATAAATTTTATTTATACCCTTGGGAAACTAGGTGAATCTGTTGCAAAGGAACAAATGATGCATTTTCACAGATAATTTGAGAACTGAAAATGTTGCTTTTTAAAACAGCCCTCATTTAAAGTTTCAGCTTTTGATACTACCTGTGACAAGTTGGAAACTTATTTCTTTTTCTCTCTGCATTCCGTTTTGTGAAATGTGGGAAGAGATGTTTTTTTATTTTTAAACTTTCCCTAAAATGTTTTCCACAGTTGAAAAAATAAAGTACTTATACAATATATATAGGGCATACTGATTTACTAGTCATCAATAGTGTTCTCTGAGAGGTATATGTTATAATCTAAAATAAATAATACTAATGATTTTTTCATCTTGTACTCAAACCCTTTTGGGGATGTTTTGTTGGGGAGGGCATTGGGCATAGCTTATGGTCATTGACCCCTTACAAATAGAGAGACCCTATTTTGGTTACTTGTCAGTCACTTTGGACTCCTCTTATATCAGTTTTCATTTGAAGAGGTAGTTCTGAGGTTTAAAAAGCAAGACAAGAAGTAGAAGACTCTGTATTTTTAAGAGGAAGACTCTGAATCAGACAAATTTATTAAGTAAATTTGGGCGTGGTGGCTCACATCTGTAATCTCAGCACTTTGGGAGGCCAAGGCGGGCAGATCACTTCAGGTCAGGAGTTTGAGACTAGCCTGACCAACATGGTGAAACCCTGTCTCTACTATAAATACAAAAATTAGCTAGGTTTGTTGGTGCACCTCTGTATTCCCAGCTACTTGGGAGGCTGAGGCAGGAGAATTGTTTGAACCCGAGAGGCGGAGGTTGCAGTGAGCCGAGATCACGCCACTGCACTCCAGCCTGGGTGACAAAGTGAAACTTCGTCTCATAAATAAATAAATAAGTGAAACTTTGTCTCAAAAATAAATAAAATAAAATAACATAAGCTTGTTTTTATTAGAAGAAAGTTTGAAAACATAATGTTTCCTTTTGATCTATTGTTGTTCCTTTTCTGATGTTCTAATGAGGTTTTGTTGTATGTCTGTTACTTACATATTCCTCACCTTTTAGGAGGAGGCCTAGATATATTTCTGACTCTGACAGCTGTGCCTGACACACAGTAATATTTGGTAAATGGTTTAGAAGGGCTTAATGTTTCCTTTATCCTTTTTTATTTCTGTGTATATTGTTCTACTTGCTGGACTAATAATCAGTTTTAGATAATTAAAAATAATTGTCGTTTATGTGTTTGAGCTCAGACCTGCCATGAAAAATATAATAATAAAGATATTGATAGCATTAATAAAGAACAAATTGAATAACATTTTGACCTCATTTGAATGGGCAAGGGAAAAGAACTGTTTTTGAAAAGAAGCATCTGAAAATATTTTATTATAGTTGTTTTGCAGTAGTGTTAAAAACCAGCTATATCAAATTTGTATTCGGTTCAGATATGTGTATATGTATATGCACATATATGTAACACAGGATTATTTTTCTTAGACATTGCTAGGAACATTTGAAAAAATGACTTTTTTTGGTCGTATTTTAGTGCTCTTATTAAGCAAGTGAACAAATCAATAGATGGAACAGCAGATGATGAAGATGAGGGTGTTCCAACTGATCAAGCCATCAGAGCTGGTCTTGAACTGCTTAAGGTATCTATTTAAAATTAAGTGCCTAATTAGATATCTGTTTAACATATACAGTTTATATTATTTGTTCTTGATGTTTTCTTCTTAAGTTTATATAATCTATAAAGTAAAATTTTCTCAGTTGTTTTAGATGATTTAGAAATTGTATTTTTATTCTTACATGTGATCTGATTATTTTGGGGTTTAAATGCTATAATCTAGCCTAGTACTAATTACATTAAAATAGTGGAATATAATTCAAGGTGTCATTAGTGAGCAAAGAAGGTACAGCTGTACTGCACAGTGAGCCAAATTCTTGTAAAACTTTTTTTTGTTTCATAAAATATTCTGTCTTTTACTGATTGTAAAAATATTAGTTCATTATTGACAAAATAGAATATATAAAATTACAAAAAACATAGGTTCATCATACATAAACATTAGTTTCTTTTGTTTCCTTTTAATCTTCAACAAATGCATAGTTGGGATCATTGAGATCAAGCTGAATATACAATTTTGTATCCTTAACTATTTTCCCTTATTAAAAATAAGCATTTTTCTTGGTGTTTTTCAAGAGTTTTTTTTTTAAGAGTGTCTAAAGCAGATCTGATTTTTGGCTGTCATTTAGTAGCTGTCATTTAGGTCTGCCTTTGACCACATTACTTGCTTCACTTCCTCATATGAAATCAAGATAATAATTAAGGCCGGGCGCGGTGGCTGACACCTGTAATCCCAGCACTTTGGGAGGCCAAGATGGGCAGATCACGAGGTCAGGAGATCGAGACCATCCTGGCTAACACGGTGAAAACCCGTCTTTACTAAAAATTACAAAAAATTAGCTGGGCGTGGTGGCGGGCGCCTGTAGTCCCAGCTACGTGGGAGGCTGAGGCAGGAGAATGGCGTGAACCCGGGAGGCAGAGCTTGCAGTGAGCCGAGATGGCGCCACTGCACTCCAGCCTGGGTGACAGAGTGAGACTCCATCTCAAAAAAAAAAGATAACGATTAAGTGCTTGTCTCGCAAAGGACATTAAATCATGTACGTGAATTTCTTAGCACCATTCCTAGCTTGTGGTAAAAATAATAATAAACATTTTTGAAATGGTGATTAGTCCATTTTTTGGGGTATCATACTATCCTACTGAGGTAGGAGGCAGGACTGGACTCCGGAGTTGGGGCTCAGACACAGGACCAAACTGAGGACTAGCTAAAACAAGGGCAAGACAGAATCAGCTTTCCACAAGACACGCCCACCAATGTGCCTTGTCAGTTTACCATTGCTGTGGCAATACCCGTGTATAGAAATACTATAATAGTAATATAGAAATACTATATTAGAAGTATAGTATTTCTAATATGTTACTGTCCCTTTCCTTGACAATGACCATGACCCAAAAGCTACTCCCTCTTCCCTATGAATTTCTGCATAAACTGCCCCTTAGTCTGTATATAATTAAAAGTAGGTATAAATATTACTGTGAAACTGCCCTGAGTTGCAGCTCTCTGCACCCTACCTGTGGGGTAGTGCTGCTCTGCAGAAGCAGCCATAGAGGTATATGTAACACCTCTGGAACTGTAACACTACTACTTCAATAAAGCTGTTTTCTTTTACCATGTCACTGAATTCTTTCCTTGGCAAAGCCAAAAACCCTTGCGGGCTAAGCCTCACTTTGGGACTCTCCTTTCTCTGTATCACTAGTATTTTCCTATTGTTGAATATTTTCATTTTTCTACTTCCATTCTTACAAACAGTACTAAGCTGAGTGTTTCTATGTAAGATCTCTTGGTAATGTCATATTTTTTAGAAAATTAGGAGAGCATTATTGAGTTAAAGAGAGTGACCACTTTCAAAATTCTTGGAGCAATGTATATTTAAATTGTTGTACAGGGAAATTTTACCCATATATAATTCCATCAGTAGTATGTGAAGGTGCCCATCTTTTTAACCTTCACAAAATGGAATATAATACATTTTTAAGAGATTTGCAAATCTGATAAGCAAAAATAATGTTTTAATTTGCATATTTAATACTAGTGAGGTCCACTATCCACATGTTAATCATTTGTGTTTTCCTTATGGTAAATTCACCATTTTTATCCTTTGTTCATACATCTACTGACATCTCTGTCTTTTGTGTTTTTTTTTTAGCTGATTTAAATGAGCTTTGTATTTCCTTTGCTTTTTCTTGGTACATATTTGATATATGTATAAACATATATTCTCTTATATGTAAATTGTAAAGTATAGTAACCAAGTGAATACAGGTGAAAAGTAAATATGTAGTAACCAAGTGAATACAAGTGAAAAGTAGATAGAGTGTCACATTAAATTGAATATTAAAAATATTGTTCAAGTTCCCTGAGTAGTCTTTTTTCTTGCCTACTCACGTCCCCTCACCAGGTATCATTATCCTGAATTTTGGATTTATTATTCTTTAAATATTCTTTATGGTTTTATCATCTATGTATGTATCTCTAAATAACACGTTGCTTATTTTGATTATTTTAGAAACATAAATGTGGCATTATACTTAGTATATTTTTCTGCTGCGTGCTGTTTTTTTTACATTCCACATTTGATTCCTTTTGTTTATTTTATGCTTAAAAAAACCCTGTCTTGTCCAGAGGGTTTTTGTTGTTTTTGTTTTTTTAAATCAACCCATCTGAAATTTATTTTGAAAGTGTGTTGTGGGGGCGGGGGGCCTAATTTGATTTTCTCCCAGTAGCTATTCAGTTTTCTCAGGACTATTTATTTTCTGTTGACCTCTTTGTAATCTCTTACAATTTATATAATCTATTTTTTTATATATTCTAGAGTCTACTTACTGCCTTATATTTTTTGTTTCATGATTATTCTAATGTTCGTACCATTGTGATTTGGTTATTGGAACTTTATAGACTTCTTTACTATCTTGTCAGTGTTTTACCCCTTTCCCTAGTTTATTCTCTTCTTACTCAGTCTCTGCTAATGATGTTTATTGGGAAGCTGAGAGATGTTTTGTTAAATTCTCTCTTCATGTCCCCTTTTCTCCTCTCATTCTCCACCAAAAAACCTGAAAAATAATCAAAATCCAAATTATTTTGACTAAAATTATATTAACACGTAATTTAATTTTGGAAGAAATTACTTCATTATATCATACAGTCTTCCTACAGAGGAACATTTCCATTACAGAGTTGAGTATGTTTTAAATTTTGTTTATAGTGCTCTCAGATTTTGGTTAACATAATTTTTTTTTATTGACTTTGATTTATAGTATTTCTAATATGTAATATTTTGGATTTGTATTATAAAGATGAAAAAATTTTACAAATCATTTTTATGATTCATTTTATAGGTACTCTCATTTACACATCCTATCTCATTTCATTCTGCTGAAACATTTGAATCATTACTGGCTTGTCTGAAAATGGATGATGAAAAAGTCGCAGAAGCTGCATTACAAATTTTCAAAAACACAGGAAGCAGAATTGAAGAGGATTTTCCACACATCAGATCGTGAGTTGAGTTTATTTTGATAAATATTCTGGACATCAGAAACGTAATTATTTCTTGATTTATGTAAGAATTGGAATCTTTCAAGTTTTGAGGAAAAACTGTCTAGGTTATCTTAAGTCTGTAATGTTCAATTTAGATTCTCCTTTCCTGGGAGTAAGCATTGATTGGTATTTTAGAAGATGCGTGAACTTGGGGGATAAACATGGCATATCTTTCTGATATATCAGTTTGATAATCACTGGTATATTATGGCATAGAATAAACAATTCATATGAATTTAAGGTATGATGGGAAGTTTCAAAGGAATTTCATCAGGACTGTCTATAATATTCTTCAGTTTCCTCTGTGATTTAGGGTACTGAAACAAACAAACAAATTTCAGAAGCAGTGCTTTAATTGACACAAGGAAGTAGAGAAGCATGGAATATTTAACAGCAGTGCAATTTTTTCTGTGTTCCAGTATTTCCCATAATTGCAAATTGAGCTGTTATCCTGGGATAATCATAGTTCAAGATTTTATAATCAGAAGAATAAATCTTCATTTCTTACATGTCACTGCTTCTCTATGTGTATCTCTTCTAGTTCTTGGAGAGAATATGGAATAGGTGGTTCTGATACTGGCGTAGTCATAGGTGGTTGCTTTCACCTCTACCTCATCACTTCTGGCTTACCCATGAGTCTGGTTAGTTGTGATTGGGGTACCATGGTTTTTGTGGAGAAGAATTGCCCATGGGTCTTTTCCTTAGAAAGAGACTGGGAGTAAAGCTAGCTTGCAATTAAGAGTTTCAGGTATAATTTTTGTTATTCCTTTCTGTTCATGTGTACTTAATTCTAGAAACTGCTGATAAATAGAACAAAGGCATTATTATTATTTTCTTTTTTTTTGAGATGGAGCCTCACTCTGTTGCCCACGCTGGGAGTGTAGTGTGGTGTGATCTCCTCACTGCAACCTTCGCCTCCTGGGTTCAAGCGATTCTCCTGCCTCAGCCTCCTGAGTAGCTGGGATTACAGGCACCCGCCACCACGCCCGGCTAATTTTTTGTAAAGTAGAGATGGGGTTTTGCCATTTTGGCCAGGTTGGTCTTGAACTCCTGACCTCAGGTGATCTGCCTGCCTCAGCCTCCCAAAGTACTGGGATTACAGGCATGAGCCACTGTGCCTGGCCGGCAATTATTTAAATGGTAATAGAAACATATTAAAATTTTATAACAGTAGTCTCTCTGGCAAGAGTAAGAAGCCTTATTGTTTGGAACCGACTTCTTAAAATTTTTTTTTTGTTTGGTTTTTTGAGACGGAATCTTACTCTGTTACCTAGGTTAGAGTGCTGTGGCGCAATCTTGGCTCACTGCAGCTTCTACCTCCCAGGTTCAGGTGATTCTCCTGCCTCAGCCTCCCGAGTAGCTGGAATTACAGGCATGCGCCACCACACCTGGCTAATTTTTGTATTTTTAATAGAGACAGGGCTTCACCATGTTGGCCAGGCTGGTCTCCAACTCCTGGCCTCAAGTGATCTGTCTGCTTTGGCCTCCCAAAGTGCTGGGATTACAGGCATCAGCTTCCGCGCCCGGCCCTGACTTCTAATTTTTAAGTAATCCCAGAACATAAGCTTCCCTTTGGATGGTGCTGTGGCTCTCCTAGTCAGATCAGAGATGAGTTTGGTTTTATGTATGTGTATTTCTCGCACAGACATATGTAATACCTATACATACACATTATGTATAAACTATATACAGCTGTATACCATTTGCTGAATGTCCACCTATTATACTGTCTCATTTAAACATTGTGACAATTCAGTGAAGTGCAGTTATTATCCTGGTTTTCCAAATGAGGAATCTAATGTTCAGAGGTAAATGGACCCAGGTCATATAGCTAGCAAGTGACAGAGGAAGGATTTGAATTTAGGCCTGTTTGGCTCCAATGCCTATGGTGTGATACCCATTACGGCAGTTTCTTTTCTAATTAGAGCATCGACAGAGTTCAAGTTTGGCTTATTCCCTGGAGGTTTTATTATTTTCATTCTAGACTGTTTTTCCTAGTAACTTTTATATTTTAAAGAAACATGGTTTGATATATTTGTAGAACCACAAGAACAGGGTCAAAAGGTGGACATTTTGAAATGTACATGGGACATTTTAAAATGTATTGCTTTACTGTGGAACTGAAGTATTTAAAATTATTTGATTTATATACTGAATATATTTCAGATACTTCTCATGAGGAGAGTTAACTCAGCTGATACTGAATTCCTACAGTGTGCACACACTGTTCTTGATGAAATAACTCATAATAATTTCTTCCAGGAGATAAACTATATATGTAGATTTAAAGTTTTATTAAATTGGGTGAGTTGATTTTGAGGAAAAATAATACAGTTAAGAGACTGTTGATTAAACTGTCTTCCTTTGAATTCATCAAAATAATTAAAAAGAACCTAAAGAAAAATGTATCTAATAAAGCTACCACAAACTCGACAGAATTGGCACCAGATGTGCCATTAAGACTGTACTGAATGTGAGAACACTGACAAGGGATATGTATTGGCAGTGTACTGTAAGTGTCCTATTATTTGCTAATTTAGAGGGAGGATATTGCTGTATGGACACGCTTTAAGAGAAAGAAAGAGAACCTGATTTTAGCTGTACTAGGACTAAAGGAGAGGCTTTGTGGTCATAGTATTTTTCTTTAGGTCAGCCTGTTTACCAGGAAGAGCAAAGTTTAGTGATGAGGTAAGACTAAGGAAAATCATGAAGGAAATATCTTTTGACCGACTTTACGGGAGCAGAAAACAATTATACGCTTGACCCATTAAATGAAAAATGATGATGAGTTATGGGGTTCCATAACGATGAGTTATATGAGTTCCATTGTGACTCAGCTTGTCTCTCATGAGTCTGACTTTCCTAAAAGTATTTAGATGTGCCAAAACTGAGGATCCTATCACAGCATGTGATGTACCCATAGCTCCAGTGACTGGTTCTTATCCTTGTAAGAGTTTTAACAAATTTGGAGATAAATTACACAGAGAAAAAGGACTTACTACCTTTAGTCCTAACTTTCATTCCTATGCTAGTTAGCCAGGTGATGAAGCAACTGTAGCCTGAGTTGGGAGCTTTTATGTTAATTTTTTAAGAGAAGTGTTCAGTCATCCGGGAGATGCTAACTATACTTTTGTTTAAATAGCAAAGCCAGAGAATTTTTCTTACTTGAAGATGAATTAACAGAATACAGATAAGCAAGTTAACAAACACAAAACCTATGTAATGATCTTAGCATTCCAAAGTAACTGATAAGCAATATTTAGAATCGAATTTTTCTAGTATCAAAAGAAAGTCTTAGTCATTTAAGCTGCCAAGGAAGGTAAACAGCAAATTACTTGAGGAGAAAAAAGATAACAAAAATGAGATAATACATGAAAAAGGGCTAAGGATATTGATTATAGAATATAATTTAATATAAGTAGCAAGGAGCAGAATAAACAGTATGGAAGATGGAATCAGTGAGCTAGAGATTTGGCTTGAGGAAATCTGCATAGAATATGGAGAAATTGGACAGAAAAAATGGAGTTACAGAGAATGAATTGCAGATAGTGAAAAACCGTAATTGACGTCTATGGAGAAGATAGTAGAATAATGGGAAATGGAAAATATTAAAGAGAATAATAATAAATTTGTTTTGAATGATTGAAAATATGAATCTGGAGATGAAGACTCATTTTTGGAAAATATACTGGTGCAGTTTGCTAAATTATCAGGGATTGCAAAGGTGATCTTGCAAATATCAAGAAAAACTAGTTAGGTCAGTGCAGTGGAAAATAATGAAGCTGGCTGACTTCTTTTCAAACCACATACAATTTCTTTTTTTTTTGAGACGGAGTCTTGCTCTGTCGCCCAGGCTGGAGTGCAGTGGCGCGATCTCCACTCACTGCAAGCTCCACCTCCCAGGTTCACGCCATTCTCCTGCCTCAGCCTCCCATGTAGCTGGGACTACAGGCGCCTGCCACCACGCCCGGCTAATTTTTTTTTGTATTTTTAGTAGAGACAGGGTTTCACAATGTTAGCCAGGATGGTCTCGATATCCTGACCTCGTGATCCGCCCATCTCGGCCTCCCGAAGTGCTGGGATTACAGGCTTGAGCTACCGCGCCCGGCAAACCACATACAATTTCTGAAGTTAATGATTCAACAGCTGGAGAGCTCTGATGGAAGAAACAGTATAACTAAAGAATTTCCTAGGTAGTCCTAGTTATTTTTAAGTAGGGGCAGATGAAGGATATTCTTAAGTGTACAGGACTCAGTAAACGTACCACCCCTTTTTTTAATCATGAGGTTACCCTGTCTACATAGTTGTATGCTTTTCCCTCTGGAATTCCGTTTTGTTTATGCCCTCTAAATCTGGATTTTGTTTCCTTTTTGTTTGTGTATCTCTGATTTGTCTTTGCCTATCATTTTACTCTAATTATTTAACTTTTAGATATGGCTATGTAAATATATATGAAAACCTGGATTTTTAAGAATGATGTAAGTAAGTTCAAGACGAGAAAAGACAAAAACCAAACAGACTATAGGTATAAAAGAAATTGAAACGTTATTCTGTAATAAAAGCACCAGTGTAAGTTGTGTCTTGAGGGAGATATTTCAAATGTATAAGAAACCAGGAATTCTAATTCTTTTAATTGTTCAGAGTATAGAAAAGAAAGCACTTATTTTCTTTACAGCCAGGATAACTAACATGAATACTAAAACCTAGTAAAAGATATCCCCCCACCCCCTAAGAAAACCCTAACACAAATCTTACTAATATGTGATTTTTGTATAAGTAAGATATTAGTAAAAAGATAATTTAAATAATAAAATGAGAATATATTGTGGCCAGACATGGTTAATTTTAGGAGTATACAGAGAGGGTTGGTATAATATTAATAAGCCTACTGTTTATGTTTACAATTTATTATATAAGTAGGGAAAAGGGTACACAATAGATCATTTTTTATAGATGCTG